CGGCCAATGATCACGTTATAAGACGACGCGGTATCTACTACGACGAAACGAACCCTTCCAGCATGGAATGAGTCCTTCGTCCGTAAGGTCTGCTTCAAATCAATGTAGCCTTTTGGGGGGGATGACGCTCCATTGAACCCGACCAGCTCGGTAATGCATGGTTTCAGGTCCTTCTCGTCCAGGTTCATCCTCTGAAAAGCGTCCCGGATAAGTATGTTTGCCGAGCTCCCGTGATCAATAAAGATTCTCTTAACCCGGCAGTTGACTAGCACTCCAGTGATCACCAAGTCGTCAGTGTGTCCGGGAACAACCATTTCTAGTTCCTCCTGAGTGACGAACAGTCTTGGGGGGTAGGATTGCTGGCTTTCCCTTTGAAGGTCGACCTGTCTCTTACTGTCATGACCTCCTTCAGGTGCTTTCTTCTTGTGTTGGTTGTGTCTCCTCCTCCACCCAGAGCTCCGCTTATCACGTTGCACTCAAATTTGGCTTCCTGGAAAGCCTCATCTTTATCTTCGACCTCTTTGCCCTTCGTAGGGCGATCTTGTCTTTGGTCTTTTCTATCCTCTCTCTTCGGGCTTCGACTTCGGCTCCGGCTTCTCTGCCTTCCTATTTTTCGAGATAAAGAGGGGCGTGAACTTTTTGTACGTCGTATGCCTACCTTTTTGAGTTCGGATGATGTATTGTTTCAATTTCCCCTCTCTGATGTGTTTTTCGATGGCATCTCGGAGGTCCTAGCAGTCATCGGTGATGTGACCTTTCTGGTCATGGAAAGTGCAGTATTTGTTTCTATCCAATCCACTCTTGGCTTTGAGGGGTCGAGGTCTCTCGACGTTGCGCATCTCAGTCTGAGCAACCTCTTTCCATATCCTAGATATGAACATGTTCAAGGGTGTGTAATCATCATATTTCCTCCTTGGGGACTGATCATTCGACTTCTTGTCATGTGAGTCCTTCCCTTTCTTCGCTCCCCGCTGATCCCGGTCTTTGCTTTTCTTACTCAGGCTCCGACGAGTCGGACTTCATCCTCTGGACTCTCCATATGCTTTCTGCATGTTTTCCACATCAATGTACTTGTCCGACCTTCATCGGAATTCTTCCAGGTCATTGATCGGGCTCTTATAAATTGACTTCACAAGCGGAGAGTCGCCATCTAATCCCGAGATGATCAGATGGAGGTGTACTGACTCAGTTAAATTCTGAACTTTGAGGGCGGCATCTTTAAACCTATCGAGGTATTTCCTCAATGATTCATTCTCCTTCTGCCGGATTCTTCCCAAGGCGTAGGCCGGCATTGGATGCACCTTACTTGTTGCAAAGTTCAGTCGAAAAGTTCGGGCTAGGTCCTCGAACGAGTCGATCGAGTTCCTAGGAAGCCTGGTTATCCAGGCCATTGCTTGACCTGTAAAAGTCGTCGCGAAGATTCTGGCCTTAATAGGTCCAGTGATCCCATTGAACAGCATCTCGGTCTTGAAAGCCTCTAAATGGGCTTCTGGGTCCTGACTTCCGTCGTACGGAGGTATCCTGACACTCTTGAATCTCGGCGGTATTGCCAAGTTCATGAGCCTTTCAGTGAATGGGCTATCGTTAGCCTCCTCATCAAGGAGATAATTATCCCCTTGGTTGTTGCCTGGCCCTCCACCCTCTTGATGATTGCCGAGGTGGGGGTTCTGCATATTCTGCACGTTTCCTTCTGCCGCAGCCGCGTTTTGACGTTGCGGCCTGCCATCTCCAGCATGGCCTTCAGCGTTTTGATGTTGGGTTCCGCCATTCCCGACCTGGCCTGCTCCTCCAGCTCGGCCTTCAGCGTTTCAGTTTTGTAGCTCGGCTTCAAATGCCTGCATCCTCTAGGCATCCAACCTTTGTTGAGTCAGGAATCTGTTCTCCATTTCCTGTAACCTTTGAAGGATTGCGTTCATGGCCAGCGTGGTCACGTCTCGCAGTGGCTCATTGTGTGGAGGTGGGCGAACTGAGGCCGCTGTCGTGTTGGGCTGGGTTCTGGAGGGCAGTCCTTGAGTGCCGACCTCGCTGACCAGGACCTCTACTAGCACAGGGGTCGTAGCCGATTGGAGCTGTTCCAATACGGGTTGGTGTGACAGTATACCATAAGGCTGAGGCTGAGATTGGTGTTGCGGCATACTATAAGGCTGAGGCGGAGATTGGTGTGGCGACATTTGGGCAGTGCTGGACGTCCAACGAGTGTTCGTCATCGTGGAATGGGAATCGAAATTTATCGTCCCCATAGACAATGCCAATGTTAGGTCCTGGACAGACCGTATTGCTAAACTGTGAGGTATGCGCTCAGAGATAGTGTATAATCAGATGTATACTACGCTTATCGCCGAGATCCCAATCACTGCGCACAAGCAATAGACTTATAGCCAAGGGGTGGGTGTGTGCACAGTGTGGGCAGTATTCGTAAATAGGTTCAAAGTGTGTACCTGGGGTCCTTAGGCTCTTATTTATAAGGATTACCTTCCTAGGCTTGGGCCTTTTGAGCTCCCCAGATTGCATTAGGGTTCAGCTCCCTTTCTGTTGGGATGTGACCCTTATCTTGTGCCTTTTGACTGTTTAATGTTGTTGAGATATTCATGAATCTATCTCTTAGTAGATTCTTAGGTGAGTAGTTGGGATATGATATTCATATCCATAACAGATGGTAAAAGAATTAATATGTGTCTATGAATGATAAGTCCAAAGTAATTTTATTTTTTTAAAGAATTAGCTGAGTTGTTTACTTCTTCTAAAGGGTTAAGTTATGACAATTTATCGACAACATGTATTTTTATATTCCTTATTTTTACAAATTACTAATATAAAAACATTTATTTTTTTCCATTTTATTATAAATACTTTTTTAGTTTAAGAATTAGTTAAGTTAGTTAACTCCTTGGCTTTATTGGAGGTTAACTGAATTTGAACTCCGAATAATAAATTATTTCTATCTCTTTGTTTTGATAAACTCCCAATAATAAATTTGAACTTCTAATTTTGAATACTTGTTTTAAATTATTTCAATAAATAAAAAAAGTAATACGATATATATTTTATTTTAGAGTAAATACCCTTTTTGGTCCTCAACAAATTTCACAATGTCCGCTTTAGTGTCAGTTTGGATGAGCTTTTATTCATAAAAAAGTTGTTTTTTTAAATAAAAGTCCTTTTGAGAATTTTTAGATGTTTGGATAACAACTTTTTTAAAAAGAAAAATTTAAAATAAAAGTTAAAATGCTATTTTTTTATAGCCAATAGTTGTTGCTTTTAAAAAAGAAGAAATTAAAAGATAATATAATTTTTTTTTTTGAAAAAAAGATAATATATATTTTTAAAATATCATTTTAACCTTATCCTATCATACTTATTTTATCTCTCCTTTATTGTAATTTTATATATAAAAAGTGCTTTTTTTTATTTTAACATCCAAACAACTTTTTTATGTAAAAGTGATTTTTCCATTATACATCCAAACGTAAAATAACTTCACCTTTTAAAAAAAGTTATTATAAAAAAAAATAATGCATAAAAAATCATTTTTTTAAAAGCTCATCCAAACAGGCCCTTAGTCCCTTGCAAAAAAAAAAAAAAAAAAAAGGCTATTCGTGGTCGTAGTTTTTTCAAATTAGGCACACGTTAGTCCTTCTGTTAATGGGGCTCGAACGTTGTTAACGTTTCTGACGTGTACCGTTAAGTTGATGAGTCACAATTCACTCTGATTAAAAAATAATGACGTCGTTAAATACCTTTTGACCTTTTTTTTTCTTTTCTCTTATTCTCTCCAAAGCAAGTTATCTCCAATATAGCTCCCTACCACCACAACCCCTGTCTATTACAGTTAACCACCACCTCCTGTTCATTACAATTCGCAGCCAAGGAAGCACGGACACTTGTAAAAACAGGGAGAGTCGTGTCCGACACGGCGACACGCTCCGACACGGTATCGGACACGCGGTCAACTTTTTTCGACACGTTGACCATTCCGAAACGCGAATTTGACCGTGTCGGACACGGTCAAATGGCATTTTTGTATTTTTTTTTTAATTTTTTTTTTAAAAAAAAAAAATTAAAATATATTAATAAAGCTTCCAAGTGATCATATCAATTTTATTTTTTTTGTCTTTTTTCTCCTTAAGTAGATAAGAGATCATCTCAGCATTATTGTTGTCAATTCCTATCACGCTCTTGTTGTATCTCCTTGTCTCTGATCTCTCTCACTAATATGATTTGATCTCTCTATCTGATATTATATCTCTGTCTCATCCCAGTTCTTATTTTCTTGTTAAAGCTTCCATCTTTATAACGTTTTAATGAGTATTATTAATTTAGTTTCATTTTTTATTAAATTATTAAATATTAAATGAAATATACATTATATAAATTAAAAATAATTTAATATTAAAACGTGTCCCAACGTGTCGAAATTCATAATTTTTTAGGATTAACGTGTCGGAGTGTCGTGTCGTATCGGTGCTACATAGTTCGCCGCCACCGGTTTACCATTTTTCATTTATGAAAAAGGTGGTATTGGAAGGAAAAAAGAAGGGGTCGAGAGAAAAAAAAACGATAGAAATAGAAGGAAATTTTTTAGTTATAAAAACAGGACCACTGAATAAATAGTAGGTCGAAGCATATTAAATTTTTTGCTCGGACACACTTGCACTAATCCGTTGGGGATTAAATTTTAAACCCTTTTATTGGAAACGATGATATACTCTCACCCCTAATTGTTCAATTAGGCGAGTGAACTATTTTTATTTGTTTTTTATTTTTATATATATAGAGTTACTAATCTCATGTTGCTTGAAATTGTTCTCTTATGTGTATGAGATAAATATATTGAATCTAAACTTTAAAACAAAAAGGAAAAAGAAATAGAAAAGCTCGCACAAAATTCAATAATTGTATGACATAAGAGAGTTATTTCCGACGAAATGACAAAAATATTTCCACTGTATATATATTTAGCAAAGAAGACCAATGTACAGATATTTCATATTTGCGACTGTTATCTACTGCGGCAATGGAGGGAGCTTCCCTGCATCTGTGTTCCCGTTCACCTTGTGCATCTCTTACTAAACCTAACTTAGTTATCATCCAACGCTTTTCTTTTCCATCTTCAATAATAAACCATACTTACTTCCCTAAATTTCTACCCAAATTCGTAAACAAGAGTTCATCACTGTTTTCCCCTCGAAACTCTAGTAGCAGTTCCACAGTGGTACCCGACAAAGCCTCGGTTTTAGAAAAAACCGACAAATCATTAGCGTTTTTCCCCAAAATCGATAAGACCGGGAAGTTTTGCAGTCCTAGAGCCGCCAGAGAACTTGCTCTGTAAATTCTTCATTCGAATAGTTCCATTCTCGCGTGCTTTATTTGGGAAGTTAAATTTACTGTATAAGAACCGTTTATGCAGGTCAATACTTTATGCAGCGTGCTTAGAGGGGTTGGACCCGGTTCGGTTATTTGAGAAACGGATGAATGCACGGCTAGGTAACGGTTTCCATTTGCTTTAAATGTTGAATTCTGTGGTTAAGGCTTTTGTATTGTGTTGCATTGTGTTGAATGCGTTTTATTTGTTGTTTCAGGAGCAGGTTATGGATTTGACAAGAAAAAATTGATGGAATATAATCCTATGAGTTTTGGGGGGCCACCTATGAAGGTTGAATCGGATGAAGAAGCAAATGAACTTCTGCGCAACATTGAAAAGGAATCTGCCATTGGTAACAATACATCGAAAATTCCTTAGTTTTTTTTTTTTCTTCAATTTAAAATAAATTGTTGAAGATGCTTGAAGGAAGTTTGCTAGAAAGTTGAACCTTTGCCCTATTGAATAAAAGGGAAACAAGAAATCACAATAGCTGAACTGGATTTCTTACTGCTTCATTGAAATTGTATGTGTACATTACATCCCTATTATGATTGGGAGTGGATCCTCTCATGTGGAAAAAGACATGACATGGTGATGTAGACAATTATAACCATACAAAGATGATGGGTCAATAATGGTGATAAAAGAAGAGAGAGAAAAAAATATTAAAATAAGTAGTTACTAAATTATAACCGTTGATTCATCTTTCCCACATGACCATTGTAAACCAAGTGGTCTTTTTAGAATTGTACATGTGATATCTCCGCAGCGCACTTTCGTGACCCTTACATATGATCGATCAATTGGTCACATTGCAATTTACTCAGTCTTTGAAAATGATAGTCAATCGTTCTTATATGTGGTTTCTCTTGCTACTAGGATCGAAAGTAAGCATCAGTAGTAAACTGCGTTGGCTTTTCACTTTAGAAGTTGTAGCCTGTTAACTTCAGTAAGCCATAGGAACATCAAACCTTTCACTTTAGTAGTCATGAGAATGGAAATGAATAAAGTTTTACATAGGAGGTTTATCAATCTGATGTTGTATATTGGCCTTGGAATGGTACTTCTTTATGTCAAGTGTCAACGATATGTTAGACAATAGTTTATATGTTGCGACTATATTATAAAACCCCTTTGCAAGTCACAATATGGATACTTAAGCACTGAATTTTTTTGTTTTAGCCTGCATATTTAAGAAAGATTTATTTAAACAGCTTTTAATTCATGCACCATCTTTGTTGGTGAAAGTTTTTACAATTATGGTATTATATGTTAGGAATCATAAATTTGGCACAGTCGTCCTTATTGTATCACATTCTTTCATATGACAGAAGTCTGTGTGTTGTCATTTATATGCTCAGGGTAAACTTAAACTTGGTTGTAAAGCATTTATTATCTGCTCAGTTTTCAACTTTCCTTTGTTCCTTCCGTCTCTAGACTGTTATAATGTGTTATGTTCTGCATTGCAGAAGCAGAAGTCCTTACAGCTCCTCCAAAGCTGGTATATAACAAATTGATGTTGAGGTAAATGCATACATCAAACTTATACTGGTAACTAAACCTGTCATTTCGTGCCCCTTTCCTCCTTTTTTACTTTCCCACAACACTGGAAGATTGAGTGCACTTATGTGTTTGAAAAAGTTTGTGAGGGAAGATAATAATATACCGCCATGCTTTATCTGCAGGTTCAGTAGGAAGTTATTGGTTGCAGTCAGGGATAGATGGGACAGTCATGTTGTTGTTATTAACGAAATTGTCCCAGCAAATTGGAAGGTACGAAAAATGTCGTAGCTTTTGTGCTCAATTTAACATCTCCCCCTTTCAAATTCATGCAAGTTGTGGACATAATTTCTTATAGTTGGAATTAAAAAAAAGAAAAAAAGAAACCACTACCCATCAAACCCTGACTAGCGAAGGTGGGGTGAAGAAAATCCTTGTATGCAGCCTTATCCTTGCATATTTGCAAATATGTTGTTTCTTCTATCTAATTAATTTTGCTTATCCTGATTAATTTATTCATTAATATACCATGTTGAACCTCCCTGGGAAAATGGCCAAATAGATAAGGTCTATGCTTAATCTAATTTATCCTTTGCTATCTTTCTCATCCTTGGGAACAATGCAATAGTTTAACATTTCAAAGTGTATATAAAGGCAGAAAATGCCTATATGAGCAGGGCAATGGGTAGAAGAAAATATCTCATGCAAAAATAGTTCAACCTAAATTTACAAATTCAGAGAGGCATGGCTGCTTGTTATGCTTCTTTCTTTCATTAAATAGTCAACATAACAAACATTAGGAGTTGATGGAGCATTGGAAATTTATGATCATTGGAAATATTTTCTTTTCTATTTATTGTTCTTGTAAATATAGGATGTATTCTCTACCAATATATATATAAAAGATGTATTTATTCTTTGATGTATATTAATTCAGCCTGTTGAGTGCAAATCACTCCAGCAAGTCTCTCATATCTTCTCTATTATTTTCGTGGCCCTTAATTATACCCATTTGGAGAATTCCTACTTAGCTTTTTCTTTTAATTTCTATCGGTTTCTGTGGTTTCAGTTCAGCAGCAGATTTGGTGATTTTAAGTCTGGCTTTTAACTATCTATTTCTGTTTCACCCCTTGCATAAATATTATACTAATTTTTAAATATCATTTTGTTTGCTCATGCTCATAGTAGTTTGCTTCTTGTCTACTGGTACATTTCAGAACGAACCATCAGGGAAGATTTTAGAGCTTTCTATTCTTCACTTGGCAATGTCTGAAATGACGGGGCTAGAAACAAGACATGAAATCGTCATTAATGAGGTACGTCTTAATTTTATGTAATTTTTTATTTTTTAAAAAGGGCAACCCTGGAGTAGTAGTAGTAAAGTTCATTTGTGATTAAAAAGTCATGGTTTCAAATCCGAGAAATAGTCTCTTTGTAAATATGTAAGGATAAGGTTATGTATAAGGATGGGTCTCACTCCACTCTCGCTAGTCAGGTTTAGTGAGAAGTGTTTTTTTCTTGGTTGCTTTTTTTACCTTTGTTCCTTTTTTTTTTGGCGGGCCGGGGGGTGGGGGAGGACTACCATTTTACTTTAAAATATGACAAATTCATTACTTGTCTCCTATATGCGTTGTACGTTTCACTACCGAGATGTATTGTGTTATAAAACACGGAAATTAGGGGAAATGTTTAAATCCTGGTTTTTATGAAAATAAACAGAGTATAAACCATAAAGCACGCTTCTTATATTTGTTTTAGACTTTCCACCGCAAACCCACTTTCAATCATTTCCCAAGAGCGTTCGTTGAAAGCAAATATAGACTTCATTCTTTTAAATGCACTGTGTGGTTGATGAGAATTTAAACAAACAGGCTAGTATTTGTTGAGGGATGGGATTTTTGCACGCCAATAAAACATGACATGATTATGTGGGGAAATCACAACTATACAAAGATAAATCAATGATGATGATTTTGTAACTATTTATTTTAATATTTTTTTTCTCTCTTCCCCTATTATCATTTATCCACCTTTGTATGTTTATGATTTTCCCACGTGATCATGTCATATTTTATTTAACATGAGTATTATACTTGCACATCATGTTCTTTTCACATATTCTCCTGTCAGCCATTGGATGATATCCTAATCACACTTCAACTTTTTTGAATGATTAAGATTGTGCACATATTTAACCTCATATAATTTATGCAAATATCTTTGCCCTCAAAGACTGTTGTACCTTTTGAGAAAGTTGAAATGATTATGTAGGGACCAAATTGTCACCCAATTTAAACAGAAGTTTAGGATGCATTTAGTTTGTTTTTATTTTCAGCTAATATGCTTTTACTTTGTATCACCCAATTTTCAGTTAATTGTATTTTTCACACAAAAACCAACAAAAAAAAACTTATAATGTATATCTTTGTTTTGAAGGCAGTGGATCTGGCTAAACGGTTTTGTGATGGAGCAGCCCCTCGTATCATTAACGGCTGTCTCCGCACATTTGTCCAAGGTCTGGAGCTTGGGGCATCAGATAATGCGCTTAGTTGATTTCTATGTATATTCTCTGCTCTGTGCCTTCGGATTGTTGAAAATCTTAGACGTAGATTTCAGGAATACCATCGATGGTGGTTTGATAACTTAATGTAGTTTTGTTGAACCATTATAGGTTGGTATGGAAGGTAAGGTCCGAAGTAGGAATTATGTTTGAAATTGGTAGTAATATGACATTGAAATGTTGTATCTTGTATATGTTAGCTCGTGGAATTTGTAATAGATTTTGTTTTTTTAAGTCAAAATAACTTTTGAAATTCAAATGAGCAGAATTGGACTTATATTATAAATTATAAACTGAACTTACAAAATAAGAATTTGTGAAAGTTAAAAATTAGCGTATTGGGAAAAATTACTCTTATGTTACATGTTCTTATGCTATGTGTGATAAATTTATCTCCTACATACCCTTTGATAACTGTGCCATCTTTTTTATTTTTCTTTTTATTTTTCAAGTGGTGGAGCTCATAAGTTTATCTCTATGACATGAGATAATTTATCTTCTTTGACATGAGATTAATAAAAGCCATCTGTTTTTATATTCAAATGTTGTTCAGCTTGTGGTCTTTTATTATGTTCAAAGGTTATTTTGTCATTTGACTTTTTATTCAAATGTTTGATATGCTCACAATAAAACTGGGAAAATAAAAATACAGGTTATTGGTCTGTGATGGGTAAAAAATTTATCATTTGGATTAGTGAATAACAAAAATTTAGAGTCTTTGTGAATGTAATAATTTTTTTCCATGTCATATTATCTTTTTTTTTTTTTAGCGAATCAAATGATTTTAAAATCGCTTTATGTTGATCTCTTTAAAAGCATAAACTTACCTTGGAGATGCCTAAAGTAAAAACCAACCAATCTCTTTTTTAATGGATTTTGTTGAACACAAACATAATAAGCAGGCAACAAATAGGTTTATAATATTAATTTTAATTAAAAATGAGTTTGAGACAAAGTGAATTATGTTTGGAAACTTATATGTTAAAGTACTGTTGTAGTGAAATTTAGTATGAAATCATCAATTAAACACAAGTTGTATTTTTTTCACTTTTAAAATCAAATTTAATTACATACACAACCACACTTTTAGAAATCAATTTATATTGGTCTGAATTTAAAAATTCTTACCTCTGTTTTTTTTTTTGGTAGGCAAGTCTTACCTCTTTAATTAGTTGTTCATTCTACCGGATAAATTTTTGACACCATTGTTGTACTAAGTGAGTACAATATTTTTCCAATTTTTTTAAAAAAGTGCAATATGGTGAGAATTTTTTTTTTGAAAAGTATTGAAATTTTTTCCAAAATTGAAAAAATATTGTACCCACTTAGATACAACAGTAGTACAAAAGATTTATCCTTTACGTGAATTATTAAATATGAGTAAAATCAATATTACTAAATAGAATAAAAAAAAATTAAACGTAAATTATCCCTCATCTCCCTATATGTACATATTAGAAAAATCTTATTAATAAATCCTATACTCTAATGTGATTTACATAACATTATCTTGTCGTTAATCCATTCTTATATTTTAAATCTATTTTGTCGAGAATAGTTTTATTATATTATTACTTAAAGAATAATATATGTAATTTTTAACTTTAAATACAAGTATTTTAAAATTAATTATGCATTTTTTAAAAGAGAAAGATATACTTATCACAAATTTTTTTTACAACTTTTAAAACTAACATAATCACCGTCGATTTCCGTCAATCTAACGGTTATAATTTATTGAGAATTATTAATAATTTTCAATAAATTATAACAGTTAAATTGACGCAAATCGATAGTGATTAAGTTGGTTGTAAATGTGATAATTTTTTTTGATGGTAAGTATATCCTTTCTCTTTTTTATATTTAAAATTAAAGAGAAGTTATAGTTACTATCTTTTTTTCGTAGTACTTATTACTATCAAATCTTAACCGTTAATTTCTGTCAATCTGATGATTATAATTTATTAAAATTAATAATTAATTGTTATAAAAAAAAATTAATAATTAATTAATAAATGTGACCTAATAAATTATAATCGTTAGATTAGCTGAAATCAATGGTTAAGATTTGATAATAACGAGTAGTAAGAAAAAAAGGTACTAAAGTAATAATTTTTAGGGTTTTATAATGAGAATTTAACATGAGAATTATAATTTTTCTACACACTCTTCGATTTCCGTGCTGACATGGGTCCTACATATATTCCGTGCTGACATAGGTCCTACATAGAATTATAATTTTTTCTAACAAATAGGTCTCACGTGCTTTTTATCTTTACAACCTGAGATTTCAATTTTCTTTTTTTTGGATGAATTATAAAACCCTAATTGTTATAATTATAAGGTGATTCAGTTGTTTGTGTTCTCTGCTAAGTGCTCTAAGCCCTAATGGAATAGAAGAGATTACACACTGTGTAATCTTTTAACTTTGATATCTCTCTCGCTCTCTACGTTGTTCGTTGTTGTGATATACTCACAGTGTTCAAAGTGTTGGGGTTTGATTCCAAATGTTGGGTGGTTTATACGGAGACCTACCTCCGCCCTCTTCCGCCGAAGAAGACAAACCAACCACCAATGTCTGGTCAAGCAGCACCAAGATGGCCCCCGCCACCCTCCGCAAACCTGCCTCTCTTTTCGCGCCTCCTCATACCGTTTTGAGATCCCAGTCCAAACCTAAAATCTCCAATTCTTCTTCCGTCCAGAAAACAGTTGGATCCGGATCAGTAACGCCGGTGCCGGTGGCTTCGGTGGCGCCGGTACCGGATGAAGTTATGCAACCGGCTCTAGTCGGAGTCCAATCGACGGTGATGGAGGAATATGACCCGGCTAGGCCGAACGACTACGAGGAGTACCGGAGGGAGAGGAAGAGGAAGGCCAGGGAGGCGGAGATGATGAGGGAGCTCGAGAGGCGGCGGCAGGAGGAGGAGGAAGAGGAGAGGGAGAGGGAAAGAGAAAAGAGAGAGAAGGATTTGGGTGGTGGCGGCGGTGGCGATTCTTCTTCGAGGTTGAATATTTCCGGTGAGGAAGCGTGGAAGAGGCGGGCCGCAATGAGTGGCGGCGGGGGTGGGGGAGCGGGTGCAGGTGCGGTGCCACCGAGGTCGCCGTCTCCGCCGAGTAATGTGGATGGTTTTAGTATTGGGAAGTCGGATACGGGTGGGTTAGGGGTTGGTGCGGGTGGGCAGATGACTGCTGCTCAGAGGATGATGGCAAAGATGGGATGGAAGGAAGGGCAAGGACTTGGGAAACAGGAGCAAGGGATTACCACTCCTTTGATGGCCAAGAAAACTGATAGACGAGCTGGGGTTATTGTCAATGCTAGTGACAATAAACAGGATAAGAAAGTGGTGAAGAGTGTGAACTTCAATGGGATTCCTACAAGGGTCCTCTTGCTTAGGAATATGGTATGCTTTGTTTTTTGACATATTAAGTGCTTGTTGATTTATATTTCTGCTGATTTCATTTGAGTGCTTATGCTCCTTTATAATGTTATAATTTCTTGATGAATCATATGGTCATTTTTATATTGGATGTATGGATAATTTGTGAGCTCATTCTTTTATACCAAATTCAATATTTAATACTTGTATTTGTGTGCATTGTTTTGAAGGATGCCTTAAAGAGTTTGAGTTAACTGGTATTGTAATAACTAGTTAAAAATTTCATTAATTTTTGTTGCTTGTCATGTTATATATATATATATATATATATATATATATATATATACGTCATTGTTCTGCATACTGTGGAGCTTCAGTTCGAAAGTAGCACGAGTTAATTTGTTCTTTTGTTATTTTGCATCCGATGAGGCCTTCCAATGTTTTGATTGGTGACCAGTGGATGTGATTATAATAATCTGTAGTTTTATCTTTTAACACAATGAGCTATGATCAGCCCATAGTATTTTTACTTAGTAATAGTTAGTGACTACACCTTCATTTTGATTTTGAAGATTCATATTGAATATCGTATCTTTGTTATTTGGTGATGTCTATGAGGTTTAACATGTAAATGCAACATATGCTTTATATATATGTTAGTGTTAGGCACTAATTATAAATAATATAATGCTTAATCAGATAAGGGAAAAACTTTTCCTCAATTAAAGGACTAATTGACTCTACAATAATTCCTAATCGATTCTACAATATTTACATGATATGCTGAAGATATCTAAGATATCCTAACATTCACTCTCAACTGGGTGCTTATATATTGTATGCTCCAAGCTTGTTACATATTTTATTGACATAGGGACCTCTAAGAGGTTTAGTGCAAAAATGAGCCAGGTGGAATTAGAATTTACAAATATTAGTAAATTCTAAACTTGAGTTTTGGAGTAAAGCTCTGTAATCAAGGGTTTTTAGTTATGAATGTATAAGACAAATTATATGGAGCGAAAGTTTAGTAAGATGCAAGCTAACAACGCTCTGAAGTTGAAAATAGGGGATGACACTATAAACAAGTTGCACGGTTTATGTAGATTGGATCCATCCTGTGAAGTTATAGGAGATTGATGGGAATGTCACATGTAGGGTTCATATTGGGTGGATGAAATGGAGAAGGGTAGTGTACTTTGGGATCATAAAGTGACTATCAAACTCAAAGGAAAATTTAGCTTGATTGCTCTAAGATCAGCATTGCTCTATATGGTAGTGAACGTGGGGAAGTGAACAGCAAATCAGAGTATAAAATAATTGTAGCAGAGATGAGAATGTTGAGGTAGATGAATACACATACAAGAAAAAATAAGATGACGAATGAATGTATCCAAGAGAAAGTTGGAGTAGCAACTGTTGAGGATATAAGTAAATTTATATTTGAAGTTTGATTATTGAAAGAAGATTAGAAAGAACAAATTAAGAATTTTATGTCCTTATGCTTCTCTGTTGTGTATTGGGCTTCTATAGTGGCCAAAGCAATTACATGAATGAGAGTATGGTCTGCACTTCTTGAACATGAAATTATAATGTCTATCTTACCTCTTTGGAGTCTCGAGTCCTTTGATATCATGTTTTTAAGCCCTGTGGTCATGTTTTCTTTAAGCACTAAAAGAAGCTCATGTTAGTTGGTTCTCAAGAAATTGTGCATGTGAACTCTTAGTCTCATGCAACCAGTGGAAACTAATGTAAGTCCCTATTATTATTATCTAGTCTTTCCTTTCAATATTCAAATTTAATTTCCACTGAGAATAAGTCTTTTGCCTCTGCTGTCCATTTCTCTTGGTTTTGTCTTGTTTGGAGGAGGCTTGGAAGGTGCATATCATTCTGTTTTTTCTCCCTTATAAACTTCCTTATGTGATTGAGGATGGCATCTCAATATATAGAAAGACTAGGCCACTGATTGGAGAGAGTGAGAATACTGATACTATCACCAATGATAAAATTATCCCTGTTTATTATTAGAGTAGTACAAATACAAAAGTAACCCTACTACAACCAATACGTTACTTTTGAATTTGTACTACTCTAATATTTATATACACAAATACCTTCATAATTTTATGGCTGAGTTTATAAGGAAGAGCATGTCAGCAAGTATTTTTCATTTTTATAACAGACAAGCATGCTCCACAGTACATATTCTTTCTTTCTTTTGTCATTTAAGTTGATAATGATGTAGAGATCTGTTTCTTATTGCCTTTTCATCTGTGGGATCATCAGGAATATCACTGTGGTATATTTAGCTTGGTTAGTTTGCTGATTAATTAGCTTGATGCATCTTGGTTAATCCCTTTTTCCTACCACCAAGGATGAGTAACTTGTTTCTTAAGTATCATGCTCTTAGGGTATTATGATGTTAATGCAGGAGGTGATGATGTTTAAAATTATTAATATATGGTGTAATTGTAAATAGGGAATCAGGGTTTAGTAGATTGGGTTTGACATATCTTATCCCTGGATAGATTATGGCTTTATTTTTTATTTTGGATTAGGATTACTTCAGCGTTAAAGTTTGGTTAACTAGTCTTTGTAGATTACATTCCTTTGAATTGCCTATATAAGGGTTTGACATATCTTATCCCTGGATAGATTATGGCTTTATTTCTTATTTTGGATTAGGATTACTTCAGTTTTAAGTTTGGGTAACTGATCTTTGTTGATTTACAGTCCTTTGAATTGCCTATATAAGGTGTATTATCTGTCACATGGATGTTAGCTTCTTTCAAACTGATTTGTATTGCTTTGCTTCATAATGCTAATGTAGGATATATATTTTTAAAGCTAAATGAATGATTTTTATTTTTTTATTTTTTCTGAGATGTGATCTGGAGGTGAGGTTCCTGTCATAATATTTTGAAGTAATTGAAATTTTGTCAGTTGCCTTTTTGTAGTTCCAAAATTCCATTTCATTCTTTAGGAAAGTTAATGGTAATAACCTTGATAAATGCTGAAGTCACTCTTCACTTTGTGCATGCACTGAAATAGTTAATAAAATATTTACTGACTCCCTTCATATTTGTGTCTGTTGTAAACTGTTTGGGCACTGGGGTAAAACATATTGGTGTGCATCATCTGTTTCCTCTTTTGCACATTAAAACTTACAAGTGCTGAAATTTGATCACAAAGCGACAAATCAGATGAATTGTTTATTTGAACATATTTTTGTTTTGACATTTTGATCAACAGAAGAAATTTTCTTAGAAAAAAGGGAGGAGAATAAGCTTTTCTTCCTAAGAAGGAAATAAATAATACAGTCCCCCCACCCACCCCAGACCAAAACAAAAAACTTGTAATGCAATCATCTGTGCCGAAGAGCTCTCCAATCCTTAACCCTTTTTTCTTCTAGTCAATGCTTGCAGCTTGTTACATTCAATTGTAATTGAAGCAATAGTTGTGATTTCCATCACAAGTCCAAGTGTTAAGAAGAGATCTAAGAGGGTTGGTGCTTAGATCCCGAAACTGTAGTTGGTCCTCTAGATGAACCTAATTTTGTGCTCATGTGTGCATATCTACATACTTTAATGCCTTATTGTTTAATCTAATAAGCCACTAAAAGCTCATAGGTGATACATTAGCTCATCCTAAAATTGAATTGGTGTCTTTGTAGTTTAACCGATTGTACATGACCACTGTTTGTGCTTTCTTGTTGAAGGTGGGTCCTGGTGAGGTAGATGACGAGCTGGAAGATGAGGTAGGATCAGAATGTGCCAAGTACGGGACAGTAACTCGAGTTCTGATATTTGAGATAACAGAGCCAAATTTCCCCGTTGAGGAAGCAGTAAGAATCTTTGTGCAGTTTGAGAGATCCGAAGAAACTACTAAAGCGCTTATTGACCTTGATGGTCGGTACTTTGGGGGCAGAGTGGTGCGTGCCACTTTTTATGATGAGGAGAAGTTTAGCAAGAATGAGTTGGCTCCAATGCCAGGAGAAATTCCTGGCTTTACGTAAGTCATCCTTAGTGTTACCCTGAAGACTTAGAATTTAATATTTCATTACCTGATAGTTAAGCATTGTTGTAAGCTTCAATCTTGGTCCAAATGTGTTTGTAGCAGTGACAAAGGGTTGTTGCTCAGGGAATTATTGGGATCACAAGAACATCTAAAGTTCCTTACTAGCGCTAATGTTGTCTCTGTACATCGAAAATTCCTTAATATTATGATCACTTGGAGATTGAGATAGGATCGAATGAGCTGTTACTGCTTGCTCTCAAACTGGTTCAGATTATCATCTCCGATTCATTATTTGCTTTTACTCTCAGAATAAAACACGAATAGCAAGTATCAAAAAGCAGCCCAAGATCCTAAAAATGGTTACAAAATGGCTATGATGATGCAAAATGCAAATGCGAACCTCAGGCTTAAGATCCTAAATCAAGTTATAATTTTTTGGCTAAATTATAACTTACCACACTAAAAGTGGGTGCTTTTTTAAAAACATACATAATATTTTCAACTAAATTAGTCATTTCTATTATATTATTACAATAATTAAACGTAGATGTTAATTTTCAGACAAAAACAACTTGTTATATTCTTTAGCCCACCCTTCTGTACATCATACCTTATCATCACCGTTCAGCCCTTCACATTCCCCTACTACGGCCAGCTCAAAGCTCCCCGCGTCCAACATCCTATCTCCGCCCACTACCACCACCATAAAGAGGGAAAATGCATTCTACTCTCCTTCGTTTATCCCCGTTAGAGTAAAAATAGAATAGAAGGGTCAAAAAAGTGAAGATGGGTTCAAACTTCAAAGTACCAAATACGCCAATAAAGGTTCGTTTGGATCGACTATAAGAAAAAAAAAAAAAAAAAAAAAAAAACCACATTCAAAACTATTTTATGTTGGGATACGGTATCCAAAAATTAATTTTAAGTAATAATATTTTGATTTTTTTTATCACGAATCGCATGGTTGAAAGTTGAATCACGTACTTGGTGCTTTTTTCGCTTCTAAGTGTATATTTGAACTGACTTATTTAAAGTTCAAAATAGCTTGTAATCAAAATGTTATTGGGAGATTTATAATATGTTTCTTTGACAAAAATAAAATTCAACTGGCATTTAGCTAGCATGTTGATGTGGAGCATAGGAGATAACTCTACTATTCTTAACAAGCTGCAGCAGGGACAAAATCTATTCTTAACTCTACTATTCCTAAAACCGTGAACCATCTTACAAAGGTGGTTTTCAATCCCACAAGGTTAGCTTCTGCTAGACTGCTAGTTTCAGAAAGAGAAGGGAAATGAAATGCATCATAATACTAGTCAATGACAATTGGCACTTCTGCATTCTGACCAAAGATCATTTCATTTTCAAGAAATTTGGATGGTATGTCACCTCTAAGAATTTGAACTTCAAAGATGATTTTCTCTTTACTGTTTTCCATGAGCTCAAAAATGCATGCATCTCCAACCTTCAAACAATTATCATCAGCAAAATTTCTCCAGCCATCAGAAGTAAACCTCTTGGGAGGTGTGTTTTGTCCATTATACATCATGTCCCAGCTCTTGCCCCGATAGTTGAGAACAGCAGGGACCGCATGAGAAGGAAGTTTTGAGAATAAGTTGTTTGATGGCCCCTATATACCAACAATACAAGATTTAAAATGATTCTCCCATGTTCCATGTACCAGAGAAAGAAAGAAAAAAAGATTTTCCCCCAACCTTTTGAACACCCACATTTACTGACATCATTATGAGAAAGAAGAGTATAAATATTGATCACCTACAAAAACATGAAATTGTCTTGTGTGCTTTAATGATGTGCCCAAGATTTTTTCAAGGCATAGTCAAGAAATGAAATTCCTTTAGGATACAGACAAATGGACCTTTTTGAAACAACAAGTAAACTACTATATGTTTCTAAAGCATAAAACAAAAAAAATCAATGGCCATGACCATGATATCTTATTAGAAGTCAACGAAATTGATCCAAATGAAGAGAAATCATATTAGACTGGTAATAAGTTAGACATAATGATGCATCAACAAAAAAATTAGAATCATGTGGAATTGCGAATTGAAGTATAGTCAACCTTGTCCTTTGTTTATTCTGTTTTGCCTTTAATAGTTGATGTACACAGACATGCATCTACTGGGCACTCCCTGATCCATAATCTTAAATTCAGCCCCTCTTCTAAAGGTGGAAGAGTGCAATTAGATCCAATCACGGTCATTTGACTTATTTATCTTCTTTGTCCTTATACTAAAAGAAAATGAAATAACATAGGGAGTCCTTAAAATCAAAGTATGAAATTACCATCACATAACGGGTACTAAGATGTGTTTTGGAAAGAACCACATGATAGTATGGTTTTCCTGATAGTGGCTTGATCTCATCCCCTTGCAAATTTGTTGTAGGATTGGGAAGCGGTTGGAATGTGGCTCGATTATCTCCTGCAACTCTACAACTACCCACTGCATAATTTGCTTTCAGGCTAAGTTAGTGATAAATGTTTTAGATGTAAAGTTCCTCTTGACAATAAATTGAGGCTGAGGGCTGGGAAAACCCAAGCTACCTCCAGTTCAAGCATTGAGAAGTTCAAATAAGAATGATGCAAAATGCTGCACGTAACATACATAGTTTCCAGGGATCACTAACTCTCCAATCACAGTCACCACAATCATGAAATTTAGCCCATAAAAAGATAGACTCACAACAATTATTGCAATTCAGGCAAAATTCTTGTTCATACCATAACTTACTCGCATACCCAATTCACATAATCATGAAATTCTGAATACCATAGCTAACATAGCTTCTGCTTAAATTAATAATTGACACAGGCGAATGAGTCCCATGTTCCCTGGTTGTGAGACATAGAACTCTCATTCATAGTGAAGGGTCTCCACTCTTCTCAGCCTTGCTTTTAGGAGAGGATTTTCATCTACATAAAGTGGTATCAAAGACTGGTTTTTTCCCACCCCGGTCTTGATGGATCACTCTTTCTTTTTTAGATTTCTCCACCGGTTCATCGATTACCCTGATTAGTTCCATAGAGGCAGCCGAGACCACAAGAGCGGCAAAACTCTCAGTACCAAATTTTTATTTTTGAAGGATCATATGTCCCATATCAGCTAGTTGTGAGACATGGAACCCTCATACCCCTCATATCAGCCAGGGTTTTAGGAGCAGGTTCTCTTCTACATCAAAACCTTTCTAGACTTGTAATATCAAAGGTTCTGAACTGAAGAGACATGGCTATATTTTATTTTGAAACCCACACCACACCAATAATCCAAAAAACCTTTCTAGAAATAACTGTATATTTACATATTGACAGATTGGATATTTCAAAATTATAACTTGAACGCAATTTGTTTTCAGAATCATAAATTTCAAATAAAATTTCAACATGTAAGAGGACAAAGTTTCATCCTTCAGTACAACACACTAATGATTTGCAACAACTCTGTGCAAATATTCTGTTTCACAGTGCAGTTGTTGGTGGGCATGCGTTTAGTGTTGTTTGAATTAAAAATAAAAATAAAAATAAATAAATAAAAAAGAAAGTGCAGTAGTAAATGAATAGAATCTACAAATTATGATGAAAAGCGCTTTGAAAATTACCTGTTGGACCTGATCTCGTAGAAGACATTATGGAACAGCTGTTATGATATCACCTCTGGCGAATCTATGTAAAATCTATGAAACATTTATTTATAAGAAGCAAAGGCGAATCAATTTAAATCTGAAGTGACGTCAGTAACATAGGTGTGTCAGTGTGTGTGGGGACCACTCCCAATCTATTTTGTCGCTTAAAATAATATAATACCAAACCCTCGATTTATTTTATAAGATAATTAACGATATTATATAGAAAAAAAAATGTTTATCCTTTCACTCTTTCACAGTAAGGTTTGACTTATATTTTTATTTTTTTTTGTCAACTCTCACTTCTCCTTTATCTATTTATTTCTCTTTCGTAAAATGATACAACTTTACTTTTCTCACTAATACACCTATTTAGTAATAAAATATAGTAAGGGATATTGAGCCATTACATTACGTTAAATTAAATAAGAGGCGAGAGCATTTAATCAAATGATGCGGGTGAGTAGGTAAAAAGAGTATTGAGGGGAAAGCATGTGTATCGCAGTGTTCATGTGGCAGGCTCATCCAAAATACCCCTTTCTTCTCTTACACAACAGGGACGAATTGTATTCGAGGTCAGTGATTTCTTTTTACAGAATTCAGAAAATAAATGGCTAGTACTAGGAGTGTTTTTTTAATTTAATTTAATTAAATATTTATTGAAAGTTGGAATTGAAAATTGAAAGGGCTACGGAGGCGTTGACGTGGTGGGAAGGGGAAGGGGAAGGGGAAGGAATATTAAGTGGTAAGGATGGGGTTGGCGGTGGGACATGGTTGGGTAGTAGGAGAGATGGAAGAGTGGCTTTTCTCACAAATTTTAGGGAACTTGAAACCCTACCACATCCCAAGACCAGAGGTGACCTTCCTCTTCGTTTTCTTCAGGTCAGTTCCGGGATTGCAAATTTAATTTAATTTACCTTTTCATCTCATTTTTTGTGTATATTTGTTGTGTCTTGACTTGATAGACATTAATAGGCTCGATTTTATTTAAATTTAAGAATATTGATTAGTGTTTTAGAAAACAGTTTTTTTTGTTGAAAATTAAATTTGGAGTTACCCAACCCTAATTATCTCTTTGAGACGAGTTGGCTCCCTCCGGTATCCCCACGAGCTTCGACTCTTTGAGCCGACTATGGGACTAATCCAGAGTGCGGGGGAACAGTGATGGCTAAAGGTTCAGTCCCCTCCCCAAGAATGCATTCAGTGGGAATCGAACACATATCCAACCCCACTAACTCAGCGCCAAGTTAGCAACTGAGTTTTATGTTTTCTAACTTTGAAAATATATTTTTAAAATAAAATTACCAAGCAAATTTTTTTGTTTTTTAAGTTTTAAAATTCTTTTAAAAACAATTTTATCAAGCAGATTTTTTTCTTCTTTTGTTCTGAAAAACAATTCTTATAAACAATTTTACAAAACTGTTCTAAGAACAAAAAAACTAAAACATAATCAAACAGAGCCGAAATTTCTTCTCTTGAAGTATTGAGTTCGGTACCTTTTTTCTTTTTTAATGAAAAATATTTTCTTTTATTTGAATTCAGGTTTATATTTGTATTTTTATTTAAATTTTAAAAAAAAAATTTGTTGAAAAAGCATGTAGGTACAACAATTGTACGAAAGTTTTGTTTCAGGATGAGACACAAATATAAAAGAGTTTTATAAGAGTTATGTTGTAGGAAACGTGAATGTGTAATGTTATAGAGATTCGTTTTACGTGCTGTAATTTCTTTTTTTTCTTTTTTTTTTTTCAAAAAGTGTGGGCCCTACAAAATGTTGTGTGTGTAAGAAAATTTGTTGTGTCACGATTAAATGACAAATACAAATCCCATAAAATAGTCATGAATTTTAACATGGGAAATGTCACTTTTTTCTTATCTATTACGGAAATTAATTTTCATGTTAAAATTTTATATAATTATTTTTTTTCATAAATATTTATGATAGGAGTTCATTTATTTACTCTCTGTCATAGACTAAATTTTAATATGAGATTTTTTGTGAAGAATTTAAAACTTTAATTTTGGACCCACTCTAAACAAGATTACCTCTTACGGGGGGATAACTGTTGTGGTTTATCCAAAAAATTTAATATGAGATGAGGTTACAATTTATGAGAAAATATTGTGAGAATAGGTCAGGAATTTAAAATTCAGATTTCAATTGGTCAATACGTAGTAAATTTTCCAAAAAATTTATTCGTATATCAAGAATAATAAGGAAGAAGGAAGGTAAATATATATTAAATTATATTTTTTTAAGTCTGAATATAATTTAAAATAAATATTAAAAGAACAACCATATTATGAATTATGATTGTGATTGTGCTTCATTGCACTTCTCGTTTATGAATTATGTGTGTATGACTCTCGCATTGATGTGTTCATCAGTTAGCATTGCATTCATTAATCATTATTTTACCATTGCATTACAATTACAACAGAGCAATAAGAGTCCACAAGAGTTTGCAGAGCAAGTCCTCAAGGAGGCGCATCAATATAATGGTTTTAACCTCATATTAGCTGATATTTGCACTTCCACAATGGTTTATGTGTCCAATAGACCAAAACAAGATCATCTTTCTGTTATCCAAGTTACCCCTGGGATTCACGTATTGACTAATGGAGCCCTCGACGCTCCTTGGCCAAAGGTAACAACCCTATTATTATTTTTACATTCCATTACTTTAAAATCTGTGTTAAAAAAAAAAAAAAAAATCAGATTTTAAACTTTCATAAACTGCAATTTATCTCATTTTTTAATAGGAACTAACCATTAAATTAACATCTTAAGTGAATTAAGAAAAGAAAGAAATAAAACTATTTTATAATTATTTATTCAATTTTTTTATATTAAAATTTTTTGTTAAGATTATTCTAGGCCTTTTTTTTAAAGAAAAAAGTCATAAAAAGGAGTATATTTCATTTTTGTTAGTGTTATATTTATTTTACTCAGACAGATAATTAATATGCTATATTCGTTTGTTAGGTAAAAATGACTGTGCTATTATTTTCTCATTTTGGTTTTTAGTAATTTAGCTACTTCAAACTAAAAGTCTAAAACTATGTTTTTTAATTATTTTATCTCCTGCAACGTGGAAAAACATTAATCCCATGGATTATACAACTTTCCATAACATTATATTACTCTTTTAATATTAAAATGAACCTTTGTTTTATAAAAAAATATGAAATTATAAAATTGAGCTTAAAACTTTTGTTATAATAATGAACTCATTGTTATTTAATAGTAAATAAGTTTTTTTATTACTCAAAAATGTGTTATACTTACAATCTCTTTTCTTTAAATATCTCTTACAATTACTTTTATGGTTGTTTTATCAAAATCAAATCAACAATTTTTATTTTATATCACTTTTTAAAACCATTGATTTGATTTCGACTCAACAATCGTAAAAAAAGTTATAAGAGGTGGTAAGAAAAAAGATGTTGTATGTATAAACTCATTCTTATCAAAATTATAAAATAAGGTGGAGTATAATTTAAAACCAAATTTAAAATTTACTGTAATTTAAACAAACTTTAAAGTAACAGAGTATAATTAACTATTTTGGGATATGATATCATGCTTATTTTTTTTTTAATGATTACTTTACATATTCCTCTTTTAACACTTTTTTCTTACTTTCTACTTCTGTTCCAAGCACAAATATCATTGTGTAATGCGGTACTTAGAAATTCAGAAACCTGACTTGCCAAATTTAACACTAATTGTTCTGCTAGTGTCAGCTACACCATTATTTTTCATGTATAAATTAAATTCTTTTACAAAGTCACAACACCAGATGAATTTGGCACTATCTTTTCAGGCTGAACGGCTGCGCCACAGTTTCAAAGAGCTTATTGATCAATATGGTGAAAGTGAATTTCCTGTCAAAGAAATGGTTGAGAAACTGATGACAAACACAATTAAAGATGAGGAGTGCATGCTACCTGGGATTCATCCTCCAGAACGGGAACTCCCCTTGAGTTCTATATTTGTTGAAGTAGATTTTTCATGGGTAATTAACACATTCCACTTATTTGCTTGCTTAACCCTGCTTTTGCATGTGCAATGCTGAAAAACTTGTTTATGCTTTAGGGTCGTTATGGCACTAGGAGCTCTTCTGCCTTGTTTGTGAAATCAAACAAAGAAGTCACCTTCTACGAGAAATATCTGGACCAGGAGCAATGGAAAGAGAAGATGGTGACCTATCAGATCAATGAGACATAATGAATGAATGGTACCGATATGTTTTAATTCTGCTACCCTCTTTCAAAAATGTCAAAGTGCATCATGCTGGTCAGGTAGAAACCAAAAAAGAATAAAGGTTTTATTAGTAGGGTACTGTGGTTTAGCCACTGGCACCTTGTTAATCTGAATGAAATTGTTTTTTTAATCTAACCCATCCAATCAAACCTGAATTAGTTTGTACTGGATCAGTTGGTTATTTTTGTCAACTTTTTTTTTTCCAGCATTTTTCTTGGATATTTATATTTTTGTTATTTACCTTTAGGGATGTTTGGTACGAGAACTTTTTTTATTTATTCAAGAAGCACGATTATTGAAAATATGGTGGGCAAATGAGTTTTCCGGAAAATGTGATAAAAAAGTTGTTTGCTAGGTTAAAATATTACCTGAAATATTAGCTCAAGTTTACTGATGCTATATTTGGTTGATTATCAAATATTACTGGGAATGTGAGGTGATTTTACAAAATTACCTTTTAACATTCAGTCACAAACAAAATCTGATATCTAGGCTTAAAACAAAATAACTCCTTTTGCAAACAAATTTTCTTCTTCTGGGTTTAACATTCAGCCAACACAAGTTTCAGAAGAACACAAGCTTCAAAAGAAATTGAATTTCAACTTTTGTTACAGAAATATTCACATCTAGGTCACTGATTTTGTTTCAGAGGAAATTAATTTTGTTTCACACTAAGACTAACTAAGCATAGGTATCTTTTTTTGTTGGTATAAGATGAGGGTTTCAAGCCCAGAACAAAACAAAGGAAACTATAAGAATGAAACAACATGCATATGCAAGCTAGTAACAACCTGCAAACGCTCTAATATAGAGAACTCATATTCAAGCAAAGATGCAACTTCAACAGGAGGGCCTATGAAGCCTTCCATCTTTTGGTTACGGAGATTGAACCCCATCTTAGTTATTATATTAGCACACTCATTTGCATCTCGAGGAACATGCACAATACGGACCCGTCATTGGTTCCTCAAGAGACTCCAAATGCTTTTTACTAGATGTAGGCGGTCAGCATCCTCAATAAGCAAATTCGCACACGAGCATGCTTCTGGGGAGTCACACAAGAGGACAAAGCTCTTGATATTCAAGCTCCAAGCGAACTGCAGCCCTCATAGGCAACCCCAAAGCTCAGCCTCAAGAGCTGAACATCGGTATTTTTGTCGGAGAATTTTGTGTCCATTTTACCTCAGTGTGTGGATTTGTAAAATACCACCTTATCAATGGTATTCTGAAATGGGGAAAATGTGTGTAAACAAGAATCTTGGGAATGTAATTTTCTCAGGATAAATTTTAGACTTTCTTCTACCAAGCATTGGGATAATCACATTGCCAAGGTGACTTTTCTGGGAATTTTTTGTCCCACCTACTAAACCCCCCTTAGAGGGACGTTTGGTAGAGAAGAAGTTTTTTTTATCGGGTAGTCACGATTATGAGGAATGTGATAGAAAAATAAGATTTTCGAAAATGTGACCAAAAAATTGTTTGGTATGCCAAAATTTTACTGGGAATATTGGGTGAAATTTAATGAGTCTTAAGTTTGGTTGATTATAAAATATTACTAGGAATTTGGTGTGATATTATATATATACCCCCACTTTGGTATTTTCTTCAACCACTTTGGTAGTGTTATTTTTGTCACATTTTTCAAAGATGCAATGTCTTGTCATCTTTTTCTTCAACCACTTTCCCATCAATCCAATAATACCATCCTCTCGGTGATATTCTAAACAGTGATTTTTGTCCAAGTTTTACACATAAAATAGATTACCAGTTATCTCTCGGTGATATTCTAAACAGTGATTTTTGTCCAAGTTTTACACATAAAATAGATTACCAGTTATCTCACTTCACTGGGTAATTTTTTTGAAAAAAAATACCAAACATGGACTTGCTTACTTTTAGAAAATATAAATTGAAGTTTAACTTGGAGGACTCTTATTCCATAATAAAAGCTCAACAGGAGACTTGCTTTTTCTGTGAAACAATTAAATTCAGTTTGTCTCATTTGATTTGGGTTAATATTATTATAAATGGTGGCGCAATAATGTTGATACAAATAAATCACTTGAAACAAAATAAACTTAACAAAGAAAAAAATATTGGATTAATGAAATATGATTATTGCTTTCAAGAAATAATAATTACATATACACTATAATGTAATTGTAAGTTTTACTGACATTACAACTGCATATAAAAATCAATTTGTTTTATCTAAGTTTAGTAAGACAAGGTTAGGCTCAATGAAGTCATGAGTGTAAATAAGCAAGTTATATACTTGTAAAATTTTAACCATATTATTCTTCTATGTAGCTTAGACTTTGAGGAGTTTTGTTTTTATTTTGTAAACACTTCCCATCAAAATAGCAATTACTGTTTGGATTTAACATAATGACATCAAAGGAGCCAACTGACCGAATAAACCTTAATGCTCATGGAACTAAAGAATATCTGCTATAAAAATAAGGAAAAATGATTTCTGCTTTTGAGGCAGAAAATATTTCTCTGTTACGAAGAAAAAAAAAGAGTGGGGTTCATCATTTTATGAGTTTCTCTATTTTATTTTCTCTAAGTGGTAAAGAAATGTTTTCTGCTTATAGTAGAAATCATTTCCCCTAAAAATAAAGCAAAAGAAACTTCATACTAATAGAATTAATTAAATAAGGACAAACGGCACTATCAAAACTGAAGGGTTACATTAGATTATAACCACTAAATACGTGGATCAACTGGTAATGAGGTATTTCAGTTTAATCAGTGATTTCGAATTCGAATATCTAGGAACGAAGTTGTGTTAAAATTTGGTAAAGAGAGTTTTTCTATCTATGTGATCCTACCCAACTCGAATCAGACTAATTGAATAATTGATGAATCAATGAATAATATAAAAAAATGTAGCGTAACCAAATTATTTGCATTTAATATATAATAAGAAGAATAAAACTCAGAATTTTCTTATAAAAGTCATTATTTATCCATTTAATTAGTAAATTAGAAACTAGTTAGACATTCGATATTTTTTTTTCATCGATTATTTCTTTAATTTTTTAATTTTCAGGAGAAAAAAAATTAGTTGGGAATTACATTCGGTACAACTAGTGTTTCAACACTAAGTACATAGCTGTAAAGCGTCAAATGCACTAAACATAGGAGGACGAAGCATTGTCGCGTATCATCGTGTTAAAGAAATATAATATAAAAGTAATTATGGGTCATCACTTAACATATTAAGTTATTGGGTTAAATTAGTTGTTTTATATGATATCAAAATCTCCTTAAACATAAGGGTTACAAGTTCGATCATTATCAATTTTTTTATATTTTATCTCTCTCTTTTTTTGGAAAAATAAATAATAATATTGAGATATTAGGCAATTTTATCTCTCTAACAAATTGCCTCATATTTTCGAGCATATGTTACATATCCAAGCGTCTAAGTGTTGACAATGATATATTAATTTGTACATAAATCTCTTTTTTTTGGCACAATTCTTCTATCTCTTTGAAAAAAATAATATTAAGACTCTACACCAACCCGGTACAAAAGGTTTGAGGAAGAGATTGAATGGTGAAAGCATCAAAATTAATCCCCCTTTCTAATTTTTACCCATGGAGTCTTTTCTTAATTTATTTTGTCTTTTTTTGGTATGAATTTCTAAGTGTTTTTTTTAGATAGCAACTGGCGTCCGAAGTACTAATGAATCCGATTAATTCGATTTCGGGTTTGTGCCTCTCCATCTTCCTTGAGAATTGCGACTCTCACGATTTGAACCAGCTATCCTTTGAATAAGTTAAATCCAATTGGAATTTTCAAATGTTTTGAGTTAGGGGTTAATATAACCCAATTGGATTTTGGTATGAATTCATTTGATTTTTAATTTAATATATCTTTTCTCTATTATGTATTTTATCTCTTGCTTAATGCATTTGTGACTTGGTGACTTATGGATTAATATGAACTAGAATGGAGTAACATTACCATTGTTATCAAAATATACAATACTTTATGCAATCTTTTGTGAACTCATTAGTTTTAATGCATAAATCTAATTAAAAGATAACTAAGAGATAGGTTTCTTAGCTTGGAGTAAAGGGTTAGGATATTATCTACCAAAAAAAGGGTTAGTATATTAAGAGATTGAAAGTATATTAGTTGAATTCAATTATCAATAGTGTTAAGATAGTTGAATTGGGATAGAATTAAGCCAAAACATAGGAAGATTGGAAGAAATAGGAACCTTAACAATTTTATTTTTTTTGTAAGCGAACCCGAACCACTTTTACTAAATATCATGTTTGCCAACTATTAATTAATTTTTAATTGATAATTAGTTTAGTTTATTGTCTTTATTTACAATTCATTAACACCCATCTTAAGTTTCTCAATCTATTCAAATATTATCATGGGATTCACTATGACAAAAGAAATTTTTTTTTACAACAAAAATAGAAATATTAAATCCAATAACATATTCCTGTTTACTACTAAATATTTTAAAGGATTTAATATTTTTAGGTGATAAGAAATAAATTTATCCTTTTTATACTAACCCATATTTTCTTTACCCGCATAGTCTACTTTTTTTTATGTAAATGTAAAATATAAATTTATCTTCAAAAAAATAATAATCTTTGAAATTATATGTAACAAATAAACAATGAGTTCACTTTTTCTGCGATAACTGCAGATAAGTTATTTGCAGTCAGTTCAATACGATGTTGTTTTGGGACAGAAATCATGATGATTTTATAATTTTAATTTATTTCAAAGTTATTATAATCTTTATAATTATATTTTTTTAATATTTCAATATCAAAACGATGTATAATAAATTTAGATAACCATGAATATTTTTCTGATAAACAGTTACATAAAACTTTTTGGGTTTTATTAGTGTTATGTTACATGATTTAAGTGTTGTTTCCAACACACACAAAAAAATGGAGAGAGAAAGTAAAATGATGAAAGAGAAAGAAAAACATGTGGACCTCACTTCTTCAATGTGTGTGTAGAAAAGTGATGTTATATCATCTAAATTTTTTTATTTTAATTTAATACTTTTCCCGCATTGGAAGGGGCAAAGTCAGTCAGTATATGTAAGTAATCTATCTGCAATTGCGAGTTGCATAGTAGTGTGGTATATCATCATCATCCATTCCATGGAGTTAGAGGTAAAAGTAGTTGGAGGCATAGACAACTGTTTCGTATCCCTTCCTCTTCCTCTAATCCAAACTCTACACTCCACACGATCAGCTCCTCTTCCTGAAATCGTTGCTCTCGAGCTTCGCTCTCTCACTAACCCCTCACAGTCACACACATGGTTCGTCGCTTGGTCCGGAGCCACTTCTGCTTCTTCCGCCATAGAGGTACCTTTTTTCCCTTTCCCCTTTAATTCCAATTCTAAAACTGCAAAAATTAAAAAACGAAATGAAAATTGTGTAGGTTTCTCAACGATTTGCGGAATGCGTTTTGTTACCGGATCATGCTAGAGTTCAAGTGAGAGCTGCTTCTAATGTGCCACATGCTTCTCTGGTCACGATAGAGCCTCACACGGAGGATGACTGGGAAATCTTGGAGCTCAATTCTGATCAAGCGGAGGCTGCAATCCTCAACCAGGTTTGCAATACTATTCAATATTCATTCACTCAACCACAGCACGTCGTTATTTAATCAAAATAACTGAAAAATAAAGTAAATATCGATATTCGATGCTAAATACTATAGTCAGAAGATTAATTAGGGATAGGGATTCGGGACGTACGTTTCTAGTGAGAATTCCAGGTGTGACTTCATTGTAATAATCATGCTATATGGCCATATGGGTGATATTTTTGTCTTTACTCTTTCTTAGAATCTTGTATTTTCAATCCTTTATCTTGGATATCGTGGTTATATTTTGGATTATTTATATATACTAGTTTAGGGGAGCTTGGTACAATAGTTAGTGTTGTTACCATGTGACCCAGAGGAGCTTTATTGCACCGGATTGCTCTTTTATATATATATATATATATAGTAGTTTACATGGCAACCTTTGTTTTATATTTTTTTAATCAGTTTGTGAAGAACTTAATTAATTTGTTCTGGGTGTATTGTGTTCATATAATGCTGTGGATGGCTTGCTGCAGGTCAGGATTGTCCATGAAGGGATGAGATTTCCTTTGTGGTTGCATGGTCACACTGTCATCACATTCCATGTGGCTTCCGTTTTTCCGAAGAAAGCGGTGGGTAAGATGATGCCTATTGCTGTCTGCTTAGATCTTTGGTATATCATCACATACTTGGTCAAAGTTGTAAAGATAATTATTTCACTGACACTTTATTTTTCATGTGTAACTTAATCCCTCTTGAACTGTTGTGACTTGTGGCAAACATGATAGAGATTTAGTCATCAATATAGATGTGAAATTAAAAATCAACCTCGGTTATTCATGATCAGGATTTTCTTTTCCCTTTCATTTGAAATCAATCATACATGGAAAAGATATTTGTTTGAGTTCAAATATCATTTGTCTGGCTATGTTGCTTCAAGATAGTTACTATCTCAGATAAGTAGAGAGATTGGGCAGCATTTTGGCATTCTTGGTTGGTGCCAATCATATAATTTATGCTCTTTATATTAAAGTAATTCACTTAGGCTTTTATAGACTGAGTATTTTACTACTTGAAACAAACATTTGGATGATTTGTTATCAACATACCATTTTGTGTATGTGTGTGGATGGAATTGCCTTGCTACGAAACTGTTATAAATGGTTTATAAACCTTAAATTTAATGACTTAATTTAGTTAGATGCATTTGCACTATATATTTGTCAGGAATATATATATACTTAATTGTGACTTAAATTTTCTACCATAGGTATTTCTTTTCAGTATTACTATAAAACCTGATTGTTAACATTAAAATATTATTATCTTGGAGGATATCCCTTGTTGGGGGTGGGAGGGTGTTATTATGCGTAGTTATTTGTTATTCTCTTCATTAGTGATTTCTTACATTCCTAGTGTAAACAAGTCTCTTTTGAATTAATTAAGCCAAGAATTGTGTATATCTGTGTCGTGAGACCTGTCTAACATGGGAGACTTTAGCAGTACAACTCATGCCAGGCACTGAAGTTGCTGTTGCTCCAAAAAGACGCCAAAGAATTTTGGATTCAGCTGGAGATTCACATCTAGACTCCTGTGCTAAAGAGCATACTGCAAAGATGCTGCTACGTATACAAGATTCAGATGGGTTATGTCGTACCAGTACTCATGTCAAAGGTGTTGAGCTTCATATAGGGCTTACATCTGTTGCTTTTGTTCACCCAGAAACTGCAAAACACTTCTCGTTTAACATGCTTCAGTTGGTTTCCATAGTGCCAAGAGTGTCCAAGGAGAATGTTAAAATTTCCAGAACCAATACTATGAAAGTCAAAGGCGGGTCAGCTGTTAATGAAGTTGAGAATGGAAATACTGACAAGAAAGAATATCAACAGACAATTGTTCATCTATTGATTTCAGACTCTGTGGCTGAGGGACATGTAATGATAGCTAAGTCTCTTCGCCTTTATTTGAGAGCTAGCCTGCATTCATGTACGTCAAGTTGTCCTAGTAAATTGATATTAAATGCATTCGAAGTTTGGTGTTTGTGTTATCTGTTTATGTAGTTAGGACATAAGCAGTCCTCTAATTCTTGCATTTTGACAGTGCATCTTGCTGAAATGCATGGTAATCAGGGAATAAGCTGTCTGTTATTTTGATAAGCATTGGATTTGGCCTGGTACTTAAACTTATATTTTGAGTTTTTCATGGCATTGGGAGAAAAGAAGAGTGTAAGGCTTTGTGGATGTCTGCTCCTTTTTTGGTGGATTTGTTGTTTTTGGTTAGAATACAATGTTAGATTTTCTAATGCAATATTGTTAACCTTATTTTCTCTGAGATAGAATTTTTGCCTTCATTTTGGTGTTCATCTCTTGGTTTTACATGCAAAGGGGATAGGAGAATCCTTGCCTATGTTGTTCATTTTTTTTATTTTTTTTTTGGGGCTACATTGGAGGTGCAGGGACCTAGGTAGGGGTGGGGGATAGGTGGCCTAGCGGAGGATCAAACCTTTAATATCTTCTTTGCACCCAAATTTTAGGGATTGAGGTCTGTGCTAGTTGAGCTACAGGCTTGTTCGATCCCCTTTTTCCCTTCTTTATATGACTTTTACCATACATAGACCAAATCATACAAGGTCTTTGCATTGGAAAAGCTCATACTGTGACTCAGTGGTTCTTTATTATATTTTGTGCAATATTGTCTCCTTGCTTTCTTCTTTCATTATTTTATTCCAGAAAAATTCATTGGCATTTAAGCTCTCTGATTTTCTCCTTTACACCAATTTGATGACAAGATTATTATTATTATTATTTTTTTATAAAAGAAAAAAATCATAAGATGAAGGAAAGAAAGTACAAGGAAAATAAACAGCATGAAAAAAAATAAAAAAGACAGAATCAATGGTGCAAAGCTGCCATCCATCTGCATGCCTGTTCTAGAAAGTAGAAACCCCCTTAAATAGATCATGTTCTTTTCACTAAAAAGGGGCCAATCGCCTAATCTTATATCAAATCAGCTGCCAAGCCAGTTAAACATTATTAAAAATATGAGTGTTGCTCTCCAGTCAAATGCACTTAACATTAGCATAGATTGCACATTGCCATTGAAATTTAGCCTCTCTACTTCTACCAAACCACTAAAGCTAATCAACAAAAATTGGCCCAAGGACCTAGGGCACATTCACTATTCACCCAAAAGGGCGAACTAGCTATTCCGGAAAGAGAAGGCAGCTGAACAATGTAAGAACATGTTAGAAACTGATTCTGGATAAGCTTCACACAGAACACACAAACATGTCTTTTGTTTGTGCATTTTTTTTTTTTAAGTTACGCTATAGGCGAGCCTGGAGCAGTGATGAAGCTGCTTCTTGGTGTTTGGGAGATAATGGGTTCACATCTTGGAAATAGTGTCCTTGCAAAAGTGTAAAGGTAAGACTGCATACAAGTATTTTCGTCACCTCTAAAATCGCAAGTTGGGGTTTAATGGGATCTTTGTATTTAAGTTACGCTATATATTCTTCAGTAAGTTGGATTGTAAAGGGTTGCTTTGCTGCGATAGCTTCTTGTTGCCTTCGTCTTTAAATAGGTGGACAACATGTCATACTTTGCTGTTTATTGTCTATTTCAGTTGAGAAATTTATCTGTCCTTTTAATATAAATATCTGATTTAAAGATTAATATTGCTTTCATGACTGCACAGGGGTTTATTTGAAGGTATGTGATGTTATTTTGGAAAAAAATATTCCTTCGATCTCTCTTTATCCTTGCCAATTCAAACTGTCAAGGCAGGAGAATGCTGTTGAGAAAAATGGTCCAGAAGTTTTCAATGGCCACAAGAATCACATCGATGAAAAATTGCTTTCAAAAGCTTCTTCAGGTGTCTTTATGGATACTATAGATTGGTCCATCCACAATGAAGTTGTTGCAGCTCTCTCAGATGAATCCAATTACAAGGCAGAGGAAGAGGTTGCAAATCAGTCTCAGAATCAAAAGGGATTACAGAGTCTTGTACGATTATGGTATATAGCCCAACTTGAGGCAATCACTTCCATTACGGGTATGGAGGTAAATTCATTGGTTATGGGTAGTAAAACCTTGCTTCATTTTGAATTAAGCTGTTACAAGCTTGGGAGCAATGGGAAGGTTCAGCTAGCTTATAATTCTTCAGAGAACAGTGGCAAGGCAGCGGGAATGTTATTTTTATTGACCTTCGGTGAAGAAAATCTGCATCACAGGAAACCTACTGCATATGAAGTTGCTCTTGGCGGAAGTCTCAATAACATCAATATTGGGGATCTGAAGCTTTTTGAAAGGATGAAATCGGGTGATCCCATGTCTATTCATTCTATAGAAGAGAGAGCCTCTGACGTCCACATTAGTTCAAATGTATCTTTCCTTGGTTGGATGGGGAAAACTGCTTCTGATGTTATCAATAGTATGTTGTTGTTGTGTTTTTTTATTCTTTTAATTGATTTGTTGTTCTTATGATCATTCTTTTTCTAGTAAAAGCTTAAATGACCCTTTGTTTGTGGTGATTCTGTCATTGTTATTACAGATGTACAAGCCAAGTTGGAACAAGTCCGAATGATATGTATATAGAAATAACACATAGCAAGGAAAATATTAAAATTGTTTGTACATAAAGATTAAACATGACCATAGGCTGTGCTTGTACTGACTGGTTTTCTGGGCCCCAATTTTATATTATTTGGGAGTTGAAGTTAGGATTTTATTTTATTTATTTATTTTATTTTTTTGCTAATCAGAGATAATGATGATTAATTTTTGTTATCTCTGTTGTGAATGGAGAGGGAAAGAGAAGGTGCATATTCACCGAAGGCATAACACTTATACCTAAACCTGTATTATGTTGATACTGTTAGTATACATTGATGCATTTTTCTAATTCCTTCACATTCTCCCTCAAGCTAGAGTGTGTAATTAGCTGCAAACTTGTTGCAAATGAAGTCTCCTAACTCCTTCAATTAGGCTTTCATGCCATGTTAAGAAAGAGATGATTGATATTCAATGGAAGATGTGTGTAAAACTGATATAATTCACCTTTGTTTTTATTTATACTAGGATTGTACAATACTTGATAGATAGGGTGTGTTGCTAGTAATACTCTTCTAGATTTCTATATTTCATAATTTCCTAACAACCTCTTTCTAGTAGGCATTTGATAATGATGTGGGGTCTTCCTTTGTTATGAGGGTGCAAGTATTGTCTTCTCCTTTCGTCTTTGTCAATGAGAAATGCATATTGTTCTTAGAAAAGAAGTTTAATCTGTGCTACCTGTGTTTTGTGGTGAACTTTTTTGTTACTTAAGATTCCCAATTTTTGTCCGAGTTATTTGGGGCTGTTAGTATGGCTGTATGGGTGACCCATTCACATATTTGTTAGAATTTAGTTAGAGGTTTGCAGGATTCATCTGTTTTCCTCCTTGATTATGCTGCTCATTAATTTGGATTCGCTTAAATATTTTATCACGGCAACAGTTTCAGCCTCATGCACCAGGATGCCCTTTAGTGATATTTAACTTGCTGTTTTTACTGAATGCAGGGATGTTGGTATTGTTATCTTCGGCATCTGGTTTGTGGTTTGGCTCATACAACTTGCCACTCCCTGGGCATGTTCTAATATATGGACCTCCAGTGAGTACAGCTTAAATTTTTTATCATGCTTAATGTATAATGAATGTGGTTATTAGCTAGCAGATTAGAAGTTCTAATGCTGGACTGATAAATGTTTAGAGCCCTACCAGCAATTACTTTACTATTTAGTGCTCATTGTACGGTCTTTCTAATGTCATTTTCATCCTGCTTGTTACTTTATGTTTCATGTTTTGTTAGCCAAATATAAAGAAAGAATTATCAGACAAGTGTCACATCTTTGCAATTTAGAAGTCATGTTAATTTACTGTTTATTCTTGTAGTTCACAGTTACTCTAAGATGAGCTTTTTTTATTGATTAAAGTTTTCAACGTTCTTATATTTCATCAATATCTTTGGATTAAAAAATTATGTAGCTATTTTCTGGTAACCCTAAATCTGTGATATTATAACAGTGAGTTGTTGCTGCTTGATTTTTGTAAAGAACCAATTCAACCCAAAAGTTTAAGCTATTGGGTACATTAATGGTTTTATATTTCTCTAACACGCCCTCTCACACGAGAGCTCATTAGGCTTAAAGAGTGGATGATGCATCAGGTCCAGTCTACCTATGCTAAGAAAGTCCCCAATAATTTATTATTTTTATTAAGAGAATAGGGGTGGTGAGGATTGAACTCATGGAGTGACCACTTGGTTACGGAGGCTCTGATACTATATAAAGAACCGATTCAACCCAAAAGCTTAAGCTGTTGGGTGAGGCTACATTAATGGTTTTATATTTCTCTAACAATTTCGGATGGATCTAGTTGCCCCTTTTCTTTAAGAGTTATGATTGTTCTTAGTGATTTTTATCTTATCTTCAGGAAGTTATTCGTTCCCTTATTTAATTAGGATTAGGAGTCTAGTATTAACATAAATAGGACATTTGGGTTAGTATTTAGTATCACATTATAATACAACATAGCATTTGAATGTCCTATTATTCTGAGTCTCTATTCTCTCCTTTTCTTCTTCCTTGCCTAGACCCTATAACGATGTTGAAAGAGTGCTCAATCAGTAACTACTTAATAACTTAATTGACAGCTAAACTGGAAAATATTTACCTAGATTTTTTTGTATTCTTTTCCCTGTAATTTTACCTTGATCACTTTTAAGGAAAGCGAGACCTACCCAAAGCTCCCAAGTTGGTAAAAGAGTTTGTTCTAGAGCTGCATCATGGCCCTCACCATATCAGAGTACAATTTACTGGCTGCTGTGCTAGTCTTTGAGCTTGGGATCTAGTGCTTCATATTAAGATTCAACGTTGTGCTTTCTTAGGCCTTAGCTACGTTCAGATTACTGATCTGGCCAAAAAAAAAAAAACTGCTAATCTGATAGAAGTGAATTATCAATGCATTGACATCTTAATTTTTTTCCAGGGCTCTGGGAAAACTATGTTGGCAAGGACTGTGGCAAAATCCCTTGAGAATCATGAAGACATCTTAGCACACATGTATTGATATGAATTCTACTATAGCCATGCCTTTCTGACTTTTTTGCCCCATTCTTCTATGTATAATTGCTCCTGTTTTGTTTCTGAAAATTTAAGTTTTCAATGCTATGCAGAATTTTTGTTTCCTGCTCAAAACTTGCTTTGGAGAAGGTCCAAATTATTCGCAAAGAACTTTCAAACCATGTCACTGAAGCTTTAAATCATGCACCTTCCATTGTCATCTTTGATGATCTTGATAGCATAATTTCTACCCCTGACTCCGAAGGATCTCAGCCTTCAATGTCTGTTACTGGACTAACAGATTTTCTGGTTGACATCATGGATGAATATGGGGTATGGCTTTGGTTTTATTTACTGCTTATTCTCTAAAATGTCATGTATATTGTTGCTCCTCGTAACAACTGCCTGTCAAATTACTGATGAGAATTTTGCCCTTTTCGAAGCGTGGGGCCTGTCTTGATATCCAGCTTTTAAAGTCATCAATAGGCTAGTTTCATTTAGCTTTCTGTTTTGATGTAAGAATTTATTAATGGGAAGATGATGACTATTTAGAGTTTTCTTATGTATGCTATAGTTTAGTATGATAAGGAATACAAAATAGAAATGCTGATAGAAAATGAGGAGAAGAGGAGAGGAGAGATAAATAGATATCTTAATGAGAAAGGATTTAGATAAAATGAAAAAAAGAAATTAAAATCAAGTTCTCATTTATGGATGGAAGTAAATAATAAATCAAGTACTCATTTATAGGTTATTACTTGTTTTTTTCAGACCAGCAAAACGGTAGAATACTCACAGGAAACTCAGTCAATATGCAGCACTAACTAAAATATGATGCTGTAATTTTGAAAAACTTACAAAAAAAAAAAATATGATGCTGTCAGTCGTATAATCAATGTGCTAACTTAAGAGTACATGTGGATTGTGGAAAGCGTAAAAGTAAAGGAAAAATTATAAACAGAATAATTTGATCATCAGATATTTGGCTTCCAATGCATGCTTAATTTCTCTCCTGTGGGTTCCTGGTACTTTCCTTTGATTTTTGTTAGATATGAATCCATTTACGAGTTGTCGCATAATAGTTTAAGCTTTTCCTCGGTCTCTGGCCAAGTGATAATGAATTCGATCCTTGCTGTCTACATTCTTCCATATAAAAGTTGAATTTCATCATTGGATAAAATGAGCTTTTGTATTGTCCAGATATCAAGCCGAAATGACTCTCATATGAAGGGACATATTACATATAAGATACTTTTGAAATAGAGGATTTTGTTAGTAAAGGTGGAAAAGAGAGAAACATAGTTAAGAATAGTATATGATTGATAGGATGTGATATAGCAGATCCTTAGTATATTTCTATCTATGCTAGTAATTAGGTCAAGTACTAGGAATACTAGTATAAGCCCAAATCCACTAAGAATTAGACTGAAAACCCTAATATATTCTAAGACTTTTCCTTAAGATTAAGCTAAGCTTTAAGCTTGTTATCAATAGCAAACTCATAAATAGAAACCAAAGGACAAACAACTCAGCCTATCAACTCTAAAGAACCAAGGTACCTAGTACTCCCTGAATAACAAAACCTTGGTAACGTCGTCGACAGATAGCTCTTTGAAGTCTTCAAACTTTCTCTTGGCTCCCTGAACTTTCTTCCAACTTCTTGTGTGCACACGTTCCAAACAAATGAGACACGTTCTAGAGTCTTTAACCTTCTTTGTGGGGCCTCTTGACCTAAAACTGATCTCCAATTAGTGGGTCATTCTCATACCAGCAAGCAATACAAACAGAACAGAGCCTTTGCTTGTGTCCAAAGTCTTCAACCCAGGAGCCCTTAACAGGAAATACAAACAGAGAATACTAATCTTAAGATAAAGCAGACAACATAAATTACTCAGTGTGATGCCAAACTGGTCATGCAAAGGTAGAAGAGACACAAAACAGGGCAAACAGAGGCAGGACAGTAACCAATTACGCTAAACAAAGGAAATCCGAAGACAATGAAGAAGTTATCACCGAGAAGAGAAGTAGAAACTCAGCAGAAAGGGAAGGAAAATCAGTTCTCATGTTGAACCACAACACAAAAGAAGAAAAACAGAATTTAATTTGAGAGGATGCTGAGCTACGTTTTAGCAAAATGAATGAAGAAAAAAAGAAGGGAAAGACAAAAAGAAGAGCATCAGAATCTGAAACAGAACAAAAAACACAGTTTGTTCAACTTGCCAGAGATTTGGCATCAAGGTCAACTACCTACTGGTTTCTGGTACCAGTAGCACCCAAATGTAACCATTTGCAACCTCAAAGAAGGCTGAAACAGAATTTCCAAAACAGAACGCAAAAACAGATGGTGTGTGCTTAAAACAGATTGCTCCTACTGCCACCACCAACCACCACGGGCCCCACAGGGCATCTTCCTATCATCAGCTGACCACACTGACCAACCATATTTGGATCATCTGAACGGCTAAACAGCAGCCAAGGGGGAGATGTTGTGTTAGAGATGTAATATAAAACCATTCATTTGTTTTCACCTAATAGCTTAAGCTTTAAGGAGAGTTAGTTACATGACATGGAATTTGAGCCTCTATGACCAAGTGGTCTAGATTTCGATCGTTGCTGTCCCCATTCTTCTAATAAAAAGTTGAATTTCAACACAAGGTAGATGAGTCTGTGCATTATTCATGCTTCAAGATCAAAGGGCTTTTCCGTAAGGGGGGCATACTAGAGATGTAATATAAAACCGTTCATGTGTCTTCAACTAATAGTTTAAACTTTTAGAAGGGTTGGTTCATGACATGCTGCTTGAGTTTTTAATGTGATTTTAGGTTACAACCAATGGATTCCGACTTAAACAAAAGAAATATGATACATTAATATGTGAAAATTATAGGGTTTAGATAGAAAATGTGGAAAGGAGAGAAAGGCTGACAATGATATATGATTAATACCTCACCATCTCACCATCTTTGGGTCATCTGAACCCCTGAACTGCGGCCAAGGGGGAGATGCTGCCCTGAGTTTTGAACATGATCTTAAGTCACAACCAGCAGGTTCTGACTTTAAATTATATAAAACAAAGGAAAGAATATACCATAATTTGCGGAAATTATAGGGTTTAGATACAAAACGTGGAAAAAAGAGAAAGATGGCTAGGAATAATATATTATTAATTGGACGTGTTATAACCCCATGCCCTAACCTAATATTTTTGTTTATACTAGCAGTTAGGTTAGGTCAAGTACTATTACTCGTTGTACAAGCCCAGTCCCACTGAAATAAGAATAGAAACCCTAAGGGTACTCTAAAAAATATTAAACCATTCATTATCCTTTATGTAATAGCTTGAGCATATGGGATAGTTAATCTTTGACAATTTTGGACAAAAATACAATCCAAGCTTCATCAAGCTCGTATTTCCCATTATAATAAGTTTCAACAGTGAGTTTATTCTGCTTTCCTTGTACAAGGCACTTATCTTCTCTGTGTCAATATAGTGTTAAGCTAATTGTTTTTTCTAGAGGCTCTTTGTGTCAATGCGTAGCAAGATTGCCTGCCTTTGTAGGAATATCTGGAATATCTAAAAGATATCGTGTAGCATTAAAATTATATCTTGATATAGTTTAGAGTATCCTAGAGGATCTCTTAGGATTAGTTTCCCTATTTCCTTATATTTTATGATTATGTTTCCTTATTTTAGGAGTCCCCAATTTAGTATAAATATATGAATTAGTGTTTTGTCTTTTGTATCACCGCATAAAATATAATCTTCAGCCTTTATTATTCTCTCTGTATTTTCTCTTCCATCTATGCCTAAAACCCTACAATTTCAACTTGGGATAAGAGCGGTACCATCCTTTGTGACCTGTCTCGTCACAATTTTGCGGCTGAATTTCCCAAAGTCAGGAGCTCTACTTTATTTTCATTATTATCCATCAACTTTTTCGGTCCATGTGTCTCACAAGTCTTACATAGCCACATCTGCCATCACTTTGTTGTGTCATCCTCCTGGCAATTTTCTCTATGTTGTTTGCTAATGCCCACACTCTTCTCTTGTCAGATCTGGCCCCCGATGTCATTGTTTGTTTCTTTCCCATTGCCAGCATAGCATTGAAGGGGATAAATTTGAAAGTTGCACTCAAGCCCCGTAAGATCATCCTAGTTGCTGCTTGGCCCTGCCAGTCCTTGTCCAAGATGCAAACTGGCCTCATCGGACTTTGTCCTAGGCGTGCTTTGGTTGGGTGTCCTAATTTTTTGTATGGTTGAAGCTTCCAAATGTTGTTTTTGATAAACTTGAAGTAGTTTTAAGTTCTTGCTATGTATACTTGTTTTCCAGGGCATTTCCGCTAATGGCCATTCCAACGAAGTCTCTTATTTCTTTTTTAATGGGTTTATTTATAACAAGCTTCAAGCATAGTAAGTTTTAGCTTGAGGGGGAGAGTTGTAATATCTAGAATATCTAAATGATATCATATAATATAAAGATTATATCTTGATATAGTTTAGATTGTCCTAAAGGATATCTTAGGATTAGTTTCCTTAGTTTTTCATGATTATATTTCCTTATTTTAGGAGTTTCCTATTTAGTATAAATAGGGATTATTGTTTGTATTTTGTATCACTGCATAACATATAATATTCGGTATCTATTATTCTCTCTCTCTTTTTACTTCATCTATACCTAAAACCCTATAATTTCAACATTCAAGCTAAAGTTAGAGAATTCTTGTACTCCTTTATAGAAATAAATGCTCTGTATTTCTGAGGGCTAACAAGTAATTGAAGCACATACTATGAAATTTGCAAAACATTAAATATATAAGATCTGCACTTTGATGCTCAGTCATTTTAGTATATGTTTCTCTCTCCCAAATTCCATTATGAATTTATTGTGTTAGTGGCACACTGAACAGGAGAAGAGGCAAAAATCATGTGGATTCGGACCAATAGCCTTCATAGCTTCCATACAATCCCTAGAGAAGATACCACAATCTTTGAGCTCTTCAGGTTTGCTATTTTGTTTTTATAATAGTCATCACGTTATAGTAAAATCTAAAAAGAATCTTGAGTATTATTATCTTTTATTTTTTTTCATATGCATTTTATTCCTCAGGTTCTGGCAGCTAATATCTTGATTCTATTGTTATTAGGACGGTTTGACTTTCACATAAAGCTGCCCGCTCCTGCAGCTTCAGAGCGCAGGGCCATGTTGAAGCATGAAATACAAAGGCGTCGCTTGCAATGTGATGATGACATCCTGCTTGATGTGGCTGTAAAATGTGATGGTTATGATGGCTATGATCTGGTATTCCACTTCTTTTAGATTTATTGTGTAGACAGTTGTCATGCATTAGGCTTTACTAGTTCAAAATTACTATTTGTCAGCTTTGTTGATATATGTTACCGTGTGCTTCCTCTTGTTGCATGGTCTATGCCTAAAGAAATTTATGGTGAGAGAGAGAGATAAGGAAAGTCAGAAAGTTTATGGGGTAGACATTCCACCGCAGATTTCCTGGCTTACATCTTTTATGTGTTACTTTTCTTGTCTTTTCTTCATGTGTCAGCCCTTTGTTTTTTGTGGTAGTGGAAGGGGGCAGAAAAATAAGTGTGTTTTGTCATGAAGCATTTAGTGAAATATTCCGGCAGACATTTTTGTAAATTGTCTAGATTAGAGGTAAAGAATGTAAAATTACTTGATCATAACTTCAAAGACTTCAAAGATGGTCATGTTTCCACCCAACTTAATTATTACTTAAGTTTGCTTCATTTGCATTTTGTGAACGAGCACTTGCTTTTGTATATGTTTGGTTGACCATTTGAATCTTATTTGTTAAATGAGAAAGAAATGAAAAACATATGATGTAATCTGCATGAAAAAGATACACGGGCGGAGGCACTAAAATATAACTAAATAAAAAAAAGTTACACAGGAATAATACATGATGTGGGACTTCATCCCTCACACTAAACTATTTTATTTACAACATTCTTAACATTATTAATGCGTGAACTGTCCATAATTATGTCTGAGCTGCATGTATGTAAATATTAAATAATTTCACTCTTTCCAGGAAATGCTAGTTGACAGAGCAGTTCATTCTGCTGTTCGTCGGTTTTTGCCATCTAATGCCGCCATTTATGAGCATGAGAGTCCTGCTTTACTAAGGGAGGATTTCTCTCAGGCAATGCATGATTTTCTTCCTGTTGCAATGCGTGACATCACAAAATCTGCTTCCGACGATGGCCGTTCTGGATGGGACGATGTGGGTGGCCTTGTTGATATTCGAAATGCTATTAAGGAGGTTCGAATTCTTGAAATATTTTGGTGTTATTCTCTCTGTTTATTTTTTTTGTCCCGTTTTCTTCCTTTAGATTTTAAGTAATAATACTATATTTGTTAAGAATCAACTGTTATAATAAATGCTAAAGCTAGGTGGACGCCCTAGATTGGTTTTATATCTAATAAAGCTCTTTCCCCTGACAAGTGTATATTATGTGTAGTACGTGCTAAAAATAAACAGGACATCTACTCTTACACTGTTCTTCTGTGGTTTCCATACACAACTGTTCTTATACTCTTCTGTTGCGGTTTCTTTATGGAATTCCTTATCCTCCAAAGCATTTGTAATTTGTTTTTTTTTTTTTAATTAATTTCTTCTTTGATCAACCAAAAAAAAAAATAGAAAAAAAAATTGGGTAGTAAAGATGGAGATGTATTGGATGATCTAGAAAAATATAGTAGAATAGTAGGGAAGCTGAGTTATTTCAGTGTGACATGCACAGATAGTCCTTTCTCAATGAATGTAGTTAGTTATTTCATGTGATCACTTAGAACTACTCAATGGGATTGCTGTTAGTCAAATTCTAAAATATCTGAAAGGAGCACCAGGCAGCGAGGTCCTGTATCAAAATTGGGGTGATCACAGAGTAGAGGGATTCTTTGATGCACAATGATACTTTTCTTGTAGTTAGTTAAACAATAATTTAATTCTTGTTGCTTTTGTGTTGCATGTTTACTCTATGCTTGTACGTTTGCATTATTTTATATTGTTGTTTGTTAAATTATTTCCAGATGATAGAGTTGCCATCAAAATTTCCAAAAACTTTTGCCCAAGCACCTTTGAGGTTGCGGTCAAATGTCCTTTTATATGGTCCTCCTGGTTGTGGCAAAACTCACATAGTTGGTGCTGCTGCTGCTGCTTCTTCATTACGATTCATATCAGTGAAAGGGCCTGAGCTATTAAACAAGTACATTGGAGCTTCTGAACAAGCTGTAAGACGGCAATAAGACTTTCTTTAGGCAATTATTGGCGTGTGCTGTTTTTGAATTTATATATTTATTTCTTAATCCATGTATATTCCTTGCATAAAATAAGAAGTTTTTCGTAAGGTTATCGTGTCTTAAGTAACTCAATCCAACTTTTTATACTCACTCTGAGCCAATCGATCTTGAATGTCCATTAGGTGACCTAGGCTGTTTCTTTTGGTTTAGGGTATAATAGTTATTAGAGTCTTTCAAATTGAAAGTTATTGATTTTGCTTAGAATGTCTGAGTCTTGGATGCTGGTTTCAGGTCAGGGATATATTCTCTAAAGCAGCTGCTGCAGCACCATGCCTACTTTTTTTTGATGAGTTTGATTCTATTGCCCCTAAGAGAGGGCATGACAATACTGGAGTAACAGATCGTGTTGTTAATCAAGTCAGTATATATTTGCCACTTTTGTCTTTATGCTTTGTTGAATAAAATCTGACCTGAATATATTTAATTTTCGCAGTTTCTAACTGAGTTAGACGGTGTTGAGATTTTAACTGGTGTGTTTGTGTTTGCTGCAACCAGGTTAGTTTCTCAAGCATGTCTTCATTTGTCAAAAATAAAACAGTAAAATTCAAATTAAAATGAAAGGCTAAAATCTGGAAGGATGAAAGGGTGAAAAGAAAGCTATATGTTCAACCTTGATTTTCTTCTGGCTTACACTTAATTTGGATTAGTTATAGGTGGCAATATCTGATACAAGCTTTTATCACGACTCTGAATTTACTCTATAATACAGGGTCTGGGTTCGTCATGTACTATTTTGGATAATAAAAAGGTCAATCCATTTAATATGATTAATGAACGGGTTGAATTTGAGTTGAACACGTAGCTCGAAATTAATCCATGTATTTAATTAAATATAACTAAATGAACTCATATTTGGTATACTTCTTAACTTTTATCCATTTAGAATTTACATTTAAAGACCATTTTGCTAGCGATGCTAAACAATTAATGAACAAAGAAGTCCAATTGGGTAATTCTACACTACACTTTGTAGTTACTCCAAGACCTCAAAGTTCATTTCATTTGAGTATTTAATAAAATTCTAAACTGTAGATGAAAAAAAAAATGGTTATTAACTCTGCACTTTACTTTATAAAAAATGCACACTGTAATTTAAAAGGATACAAATTCCAAATTTGATCCTGTTAAAAAAGGGCTAAGTGGGTAGCATAAGAGTTTGTTCTATAATAAAATATTTGGGTTGAGGAATTTTGATATGATTATTGTTAGAGATACAGTATAAACCGGTGACGAAGCTTTCACCAGGTATGATATAGACCGATACATATGCCTTCACCTGAGCTTAAGTTTTTGGGAGAGTTGGTTCATGACATGGTAAGTGGTCTAGAGTTCGATTCTTACTGCCTCAATTATTCTATTAAAAAGTTTAATTTCAACACAAGGTAGGTGGTGCCTCAAGTATTCTATTGAAAAGTTTAACTTGAGCACAAGGTAGATTGACTTGTATGTTGTCCACGCTTCATGCCCAAAATATATTTGCGTGAGGGGCATTTAGAGATATAATATAAACCGGTGACGAAGTTTTCATCATGGTTAGAGATACAATATAAAAACATTAATCTACCTTCACCTAATTGATTAATCTTTAAGGAGAGTTGGTTCATGGCAATTATTATTTGGTATAAAAAAAGAAATTAATTAGAGAAAAATGAAGAAACATACAACCGAGAGAGGATTAACAGGTGTAAAGAACCAATTCAACCCAAAAGCTTAAGCTATTGGGTGAGGCTACATTAATGGTTTTATATATCTCAATACACCCCCTCACACGAGAGCCCAATGGGCTTGAAGGGTGGACAATGCACAGGCCCACCTACATGTGCGAAGAAATAAATTCCACTAGAAAGAAAGTTGGGGGCGGTGAGGATCGAACTCGGTACACCGAGGCTCTGGTACCACGTAAACATCCAATTCAACCCAAAAGCTTAAGTTGTTGGGTGAGGCTACATTAATGGTTTTATATATCTCAACAATAGGTAAATATAAATACAACAAGGAACATGGAAAGGAAAAAGAAAAAAACTCAAAGCATGTAGCAAAGCTGCCCAATCTTTTAGCATATGTTTAAAGAGAAACCCATTGAAATAGTCATGTGCTAAAATCATAAACAAAATCCTATTCCATAACAAGTTTAGGGGCAAAGAGAAGAGATACTATAAATAACCATTTTAGCTGAAAAGCTTAAGTTGGTGGGTGAGGCTATATTAATGGTTTTTATATATCTCTAACACGCCTCCTCACATAAGAGCCCACTGGGCTCAAAGAGTGGACAATGCACAGGCCCACCTACTTATGCTAAGAAATTCCACAAGAGAAAATGGGGGGTGGTGAGGATCGAACTTGTGACTCCGAGGCTCTGATACCATGTAAAAAACCATTTCAACCCAAAAGCTTAAGCTGGTGGGTGAGGCTACATTAATGGTTTTGATATATCTCTAACAGACTATGAAGCACTGATACGTAAAAAAAAAAAATCAACGTATCCAATACGCGTCCTGAACCGATTCGCTTCCGATACGGATTGGTCAAAAGGGTGGCGTGGACGGCGAACGACTTGCAGCTGCAGCAGTGGCGTGGACGGCGCAGTGGGGTGGTGATTCCGGCGATGGTGGCACGGTCACCGGTGAAAAGCGACCGGATCTACGATAAGAACATTCCACCATGGAATATGAAGATGAACATTCCGGCGATTGGTTTGCTGCACTTTGTATCTCCGTCGAACAAGAGATATGAAGATGAAGATATAAGATGTAGAAAGATTAAAAATGACAAAAAAATAAAAAAGGAAGCTAAGGTTGATGGTGGGGTTCAAACCAAGAATTTGGAAGAAGATTCTAGAAGGAAAAGCAAAGATGTAAAGGTAAAGGTGCTGTTTGTTTATTTTCACTTTTTAATATTAATTTTTTTTTATTATAAAATAAATAAATTTATTATTTTCTACAAAAAAAACATATCAGCCCATGATTAATGGGCTAAATAATGTGACTAAGTCCACATTTTGAGTTTTTGAAAAAAAAATCACACAATCAACCCCAAATATCACATCTTAAAATTTGACACGGTTTAACTGCGTATAGATAATCTGTTATTTGTTCTTATGATTTTTATTTTATTATATTTTTTAATATAAAATATACTCTTTATATTAAAAATATTATTTAATACTAAGATGTATCGGAATGTATCGAAATATTAGTATTTTTGAAATAACGTATCGAAGTTGCGTGTCGGGAACGTATCGAAAATGCTGTGTCGGTATCGGTGCTTCATAGCTAACAGATACCCTTAAAGATCCAAGTATTCTGCTTAACCAATTGCACCAAAGGACCATGTAAACTGCACACTGTTTAGCCTCCGCCTAGATATATATATTTTTTTAAATAGCTTTTATAGCAAAATATCTTAAACTGCTCCAATGTATAGGGACACATCCAATTCCCACCCACTAAGAAGCCTAAAATTGTTGTTTCAAAAGTAAAGTAGCTCTAAACTGCTCCAAAGTATACGGACACACCCAATGTCCACCAAGAAGGCCAAAATTGTTGTTTCAAAAGGAAAGTAGGTCCTTGCTGGTTTTATTTTGCCATAATCCGGAGAATGGATCGATGTATTCTCGTTTTCTTTATAAGGAAGAGATGGGAGAAATAGGAAAATTGAGTTATCTCAGTCTATAATCTGCTTTGTTTCTGGCTTTCGGCACATAATCTCTGTCTCCCTTTTTATTGTCTTTCTGATTCAACCCTGAACCATGATGTAACTTATTTTTTTATAGAAATCTATTAAAAAAACTTCCATTTGATAAATTTTTTCCTTAACATGTTGGAGCTGGGGTTTATAAAGGCATATTGAAAATTCAGGGCTGGGTGGGTTCTAATTGATTCCACATATCAAATCAATTTGTAGTATCATAGTTAATCACTGTTCTAAGCTAATTCAGCTCATTTGTTGTACAATTTTGGAAAAAATGTCATGGCTGTGATAAGTTTACATTTGATCACATGCTTGTTTGTCCTGACTATTGTTTTGAGATATTGAGAGAGAACAAATGGGAAATGGATATTAATTATTGGCTATTCTGAAATCTGTTTTTCATGTCAAGCAGTAGACCAGATTTACTTGATGCAGCACTGTTGAGACCTGGTAGGTTAGATCGACTTCTATTCTGCGATTTTCCATCTTGGCATGAGAGATTGGAAATTCTTACAGTACTTTCTAGAAAGGTATGCATAAGCGTAACTATATGATTATGATCCATGTTTTCTTTATTGTTTGCCAACTGCTCATAATATCTTGTTGGGATTTTTATGAGGTAGATGTTTTGGGATAAAATGTTTTACATGTTCATATGTCTTGCACTGGAATCAGGGCAATGGAGGTGTAAGCAAGACACAATATCATAATGTTAGATAAATATAAAAGTCATTAATATGACTTTCACCTAACAATTTAAGCTTTTAGGCTGAATTGGTTAACTTCATGGTATCAGAGACTGACCAAATGGTCATGAGTTTGATCCTCAGTGCCCCCCATTCTATTGATAAATAATTAAATATTGTGGAGTTTTTTAGCACAGATAGGTGAGGTTGTGCATTGTCCACCCTTCAAGCCCAATGAGCACTTGTGTGAGAGAGCGTTATAATATAAAAACCATTAATATTGCCCTCTCCTAACAGTTTAAGTTGTTGGGCTATAATGGCGCTATATGCATGAGAATGTCAGTATGTCACTATTGATGATAATGTGTAGAATGTCAAGTTGGTGGTTAACTCATCATAATTTTGAATTTTAATATTTCTGAGTTTCACAAGGAAGCCTTATAGCCAGTCTTACTCCTTTTACAACGGTCTATCAAACATATTCCTTTCTCAACTCAATTTAAATGAGTCTTTCTAATTAATGCAGTTACCAATGGCCAATGATATTGATTTGGCTGCCCTAGCTAATTTGACTAAGGGATTCAGCGGGGCTGATCTCCAAGCTCTTCTCTCAGATGCGCAGCTTGCAGCAGTTCATGATGTTCTGGACAATGTGGATGCCTCTGGGCCAGAAAAGATACTGGTTATTACTGATGCACTTCTGAAGTTCACTGCATCCAAGGCTAGACCATCTGTCTCCGAAGAAGAGAAAAGAAGACTCTACAATATTTATCACCAGTTCCTAGATTCAAAGAGATCCGTTGCTGCTCAGGTTCCTTCCCCTCCCTACTCCCTTTTATCCCCCTTGGTCTGTGTTTCTATTAAGCTTTATGTTGAGGAGTTATGTTTAGAAACACATTTAGCCAGAGGTGGGTAGCATTGAACTAAACATGAGTTTCATTTTTATAATGTTTTAAGTTTTTGACAGAATTGTATTCAAACCGTGCGTATGCGTAGGGATATGAGTTGGAACTAGTTACTTGTTGGGTATTTGGGTAAACTGACTCCCAGAGCTTCAAGTCGCATTTAGTAAAAAAACTAGCTTTGTTAATTGACAACTCTAGCAAACTTTCAATTCATATTTGAAAGAGTTGATGGGCTTGAGATAATTAGTTAGTTAGTTAGGGAAGTGTGGGAGTTATTCTAGAATATTCTCAAATAATAGGATATAAGGAGGCCAGTGTAGGAGTGTGAGGTAGGCATGTATTCACTGAATTGGGAATTGGGAAAAAGATCTCTAGGGATCTCTTGAGGCCTTGGTATTTGGCTTTGAGGGTGAGTTGAGGCCTTTGGTTTATCTTATTTGCGTTGTCAAGCTATGAAGCACCGACACTTCAAAAATCCTAACGTGTCGTGTCTGACACTTCCCGACACTTCGACACTCCCGGACACTCCAACACGCATTGTAGAGACTCAAAAAAAGGTTCAAATGATGTGTTGTGTTGCGTTTTTAGTTCCAACTATTAGATTCATTGGATTACAATTACTATTTTATTGAGTTTAATATAAATATTTGGAATATCTTATGTTTCTTTGCAAAATTGATGGCTGTTATAAGTTTATCTTCATTTTTTTGTTAAATTATTGAATATTAAATATAATATACACTACATAAATTAAAAATACTATTTAATATCAAAACGTGTCCTAACCTGTCGAAATCTAACATTTTTTAGAATTAACGTGTCAAAGTGTCGAGTCGTGTCGTGTCCCGTGTTGGTATCGGTGCTACCTAGTTGTCAAGTAATTACTATTAATTGTCCTGTTGTTAGACTCTATAATTAGCACAAGAGTCAGTGTCTCTGTTTCATTTTCTGCCATTGTTATGCACTGTTATTGTTATTTTTGCTAGTAGGATTGTAAGGAGCTAGTCTCCAATTTCATTTATCAATACAAAATGTCTTTGTATTCAGAGTTATTTGCTGTTATATTTTTAGGGTTTCATCAATTTGGTATCAGAGCATTTCTGATCTAGGGAGTGCTTCTGGTCCAGATCTACCAAAAAAAAAAAAAAAAAAAAACAGAATCACGAAAGTGGAAAGAAGCATGGATCGAGTGAGGGAAGAAAGATTGGGAGGGGTGGAAGACGCTATCCGTCAATTGCAAGAAACAATTCGGAGACTCAAGGATGTAATGGATCAGCGCTACGACAGTCGAAATCTGAATGGAGCGCACGATAAAGGAAGAACAGAGGGTGAAGAAGTTGAAGAAAAAGAAATCGAAGATGCAGAAATAATCAAAGTAGAAGAAGAAAAGGAAAAGAAGATGCAGACGAAGAAGAATCAGAAGAAAAAGGAAAAGGAAATGAAGAAAAAGAAGATCAAGAGCCAGAAGAAGAGGGAGACAAAGAAGGATCTCACTATTGGCCAAAGGAATCAGAAAATATTTCCACTATCTGCAGGTTTGATTTAAAATTAGTAGCAACCAAAATAGAGGAGCGTCTGCACCTCGTGGGTCTGGGAGAGACAATGATAACAGAAATAAAAGATGAGAGGGAGGCTGTGCGCAATTGGACTGGGCTTCTTAATGGACGAGTGAGTGGCGGGTCTGTGATTAGCGGTGGAAATTATCCACGAATGACAGTGTCTAAGGGAGTGGGGAATAGGGGGAACTCAGCAATTGGGCCCAACAATCAGGAATCCGGTAGTGGGCCAACAAACTTAGGCCCAAATAATTTTAACACATCAAATGTGTTTGGGGAGGAAATGAAATGGGGTTATTAGGAACCCAAGGTATCGATACAGCCACTTTAAGTGAGGAGAACGTGAGCGTAATTGGACGAAACCCAATCGAAAATGGAGGAGCATGTGGTGAGAGATTCCGGCGATTGTCGCTGGAAAAGATGAACGAGGAGTGGCAAGGGAATTTCTGCTTCAATATGATGAGTCTCATTCGCTAGATCATCTGTGTCAGAACCAACAGCTTTGTGTGATGGTTGTGGGTACTGGTGGACTCGAGCTGAAGGTGGGGGGAAGTTATACAGCAGGCTGTCGTCATAGGAGTTTTACGACGGTGTCTCCATGCGAAGTCATAGGTCTCGTTTCCAACAGTTGTCATCGGAGGAGCTCGATGAAGGATCGTGGTGCAATCTTCGTTTCAACTGCAACGCGTCTTTCTCGTCGAATTATGCATACTAGAGCCCACACTTCCTTTTGTTGTTGTTGGGGGCTGAGGAACCAGAGCCAGAAAGCAGAGGATGACATAAGATGATGTTAGCCCCAATAGTAGAAGAGTGCGAGATGAATTTAGGGAGAAGTGGGTCAATCACAGGTCGAAGTGGATGCAGGTTTGGAGGTGTAAATGGATATTTGGGAGTAAATAGGTTTGCTGTTATTTCCTTCACCATGGGGCTACATGATCAGCCGTCTTTAGGCTTCCAAAAAGGTGCTACAAATAGATTGGATAATATTGATCCTGCTCTATGGAGGAAGGGTCGTTTTGACTAGATAATCAGAGTGGTTTTGCCATCCAAAGATGGAAGATTTTCCATTTTGAAGGTGCATGCTAGGCATAGATTTTTTCGAGAAGTAGTTGTTGCTGATCTTGCGTGTTATTTTCCAATGTGGTCTAGGTGCTTCAAGCAATGGGATCTTGGTGGTAGTTGTATCACACCACCTATCCTCTTTCTTCACCTTAAGGATAAGGTGAGTTTTGGAAGGGGAGTATTGATGGGCTTGAGATAATTAGTGATGGGCTTGAGATGATTAGTTAGCTAGTTAGGGGAGTGTGGGAGTTATTCTAGAATATTCTCAAATAATAGGATATAAGGAAGGGAGTGTAGGAGTGTGAGATAGGCATGTATTCACTGAATTGGGAATTGGGAAAAGGATCTCTAGGGATCTCTTGAGGCCTTGGTATTTGGCTTTGAGGGTGAGTTGAGGCCTTTGGTTTCTCTTATCTGCATTGTAAAGTAATTACTGTTAATTGTCCTGTCGTTGGAGTCTGTAATTAGCACAAGAGTCAGTGTGTCTGTTTCATTTTCTGCCATTGTTATGCACTGTTATTGTATTTCTGCTAGTAGGATTGTAAGGAGCTAGTCTCCAATTTCATTTATCAATACAAAATGTCTTTGCATTCAGAGTTATTTGTTGTTGTATTTTTGGGGTTCCATCAAGTGCCTACATAGAAATTGAAGTTTTCTCATTAGTCAAGAAAAAATATCTTCATGTAAGTTTAAAATATATTAAATTCTGTTATATTTAAACTTATTGAAACCCTCAAATTTTTAAAACTTTAAAATCTCTCTTAAATTATCTTGAGTGACTGAAAAATGATGTAACTTTAACTGTAAAAGGAGATGACAGAGGCTGTCGTGTGATATTTACCAGAATTTTCTGTTAATGGAGTTATTTCATTTAATTTCTCAAAGCACACATCTACATTTGTAGTTATGTACCAAGAAAAAAACTCTTCCGAACCACAAGGAGTGTAGATGACTAAGGCTAATTCATATTTCGGCCTTGGAGTTCTTTATGTAAATACAGATGATATGGGCCAGTGCTTTATTTCTCTGATTTAACTGGTTAAACAGTAATTGCATTATGAGATATTTTTGTGTTTTCCTTTATCTTTGCCCCCACTGTATAAAATCTCTAGCTCCATCACTATGTTTTAGCAATGCCTTTTTCTTTATTTGGTTAATGAATAATTGCTGCAGTCAAGGGATGCAAAAGGCAAGAGGGCAACTCTAGCTTGACAATCAAGTAATACAGGGCAATTTGCTCATGGTGAAACTGCTCTTCGGTATTCCTTTTCTCATGGGGATGTCTTTTCTGTTCATTGTACCTGATTATAGTAAATTTGTACAGGAATCAATTGTAGTTCAATTCATCATTTGTTGTATTAGATAATACACACTCTCCCAGCAACGTTAGGAATAAAATATGAAAAGATAAATGTATCTGCAAGTTATTTGTTTTTTCTCTTAAAACTTTATTTTGGGTTTAAGGGGAAGCAATGGCCGAAGTAAATCCTTAAGGGAAAAACAGAGATCAAAGGAAGCCTTACGCATGATGATCAAATCTCCTATTGGAAGTCCAATGCAGAATGTACTGGCAGTCCTGGCATGAATTTTTTTTTTTTTTTTTTGCTTTGGGGATTCGTTGGCTGCTTTGTTATTTGGCAAATTGGTTTGAGTGACAGCTTATGCTTAGAAACATTTGATGAGGTTTGAGTAGCAGCTTATGCTTAGAAACATTTTGATGAAGAGACCTTGTTGCAAACTCCTCCAAACAGTTTCAGCTTTGGTGCCAATTTTGTTTTGAGTTTACTCTTTCCATGGAAAATATGACTAGAGGATGTTGACGCTGCTGCACGGCTACGAGCTTACAATTTCTTGGAAGCATTGAACCCATTTGTTGCTTGATAATCACCAGTGTGATGAGCCAAATGACCCTACTTTTTGAATTCTTTTCCGTCGATTTCCAACTCTCCGCCTGCTATGTGATGTACGTTACATACTTTTTGGGCAGTTTCATCCTTAATGAAGCTCTCCCTTAAGCAAAAGGAAGGGGTCATTCAGCATCAAGGATGAAAAAAGGAATAGTGCCCAGTTTCATCCCATTTCACTTAGTCGTGTGCCTGCATTCATCTTTGTTTTTTTTTTCTTACATTATTAATTTGAAAGTAGATATCATGTTAAGGTTTCATATATTGGATAATGAGTAAAGTCATATTTTGGTATTTTAAAGATGGAAAATGTTTTTCTCATGTTGCATGAGACAATTTGTCTCATGTAACATACAAAAAAGTGGGTGGGACCCACTAAGAAGAGGAGAGAGAAAGGAAAAAAGTGGGTCTCATTTATTTTTATTTGTGTTGCATGAGACAAATTGTTTCATGCAACATGAGAAAAATATTTCTCTTTAAAGATATGATTGTTATTGCTTTAGTAATAAAAAAATTTCATTTATTTTTTCAACAAAGTGTCATTATATTGGTCTTTTTATATCAAATTGAGAGAAATAGGAATAATTAAGACCCAACTTAGGAACTAGTTGATGATATTTTGTATGACTATGAGGACTAAATTGATAGTATTGTGAATTATTAAAAGAAATAAATTAATGTAAAACCACGGTAATGCACTTTGTATTATTGAGGGATTAAAAAAAAAATTAGATTGTATTTTAAAAAGACAAAAATATGGAATTATTATTAGATAATTGAAAAAATAGATATGTAATGTTTAATGACAAGAAGTTGTAGTTACATATTTATGTTTATTCAAACAACCAAATATATCCCTGAAAATCTTGTAATCTTGATGCTGGTGACTTGCATTTCATTAGATCCAGAGATGGACTAGTTGACATAGACACAAATTGATCCAAAAATCATACGATCACAACATTTAAAAAAAAAAAAATACGTATTAAATACGTGATAAAAAAGATTGTCGATAAAGAAAAAAAATTGAAACAAACAGAAAAATTAGATGCTTAGACAGCTTATGACATGTTTAATTGTGTTCCTCTTTTTTTTTAAATTATTTTGTAAAGTAGTTTATAAGAACTATTTTTTATAATAAAAGAAAAAATGTTTGATAATGAGAGTTTCAAAAATTAAAGAAAAAAATGTAGGGAAAATTTGTTTAAAAACATATTTGTTTAAAAATAAAAAATAAAAAAATTGTTTAATAGGTAAAAAAAAATTATTGTTAACTTCATTTTATGATTTCCTTAATTATATGAAAAAAATTATACTTTAATAAAATATTTTTGAGACAAAAAAATCATATTACAAGTTTTTTTTAAAAATTAATAATTTTTTAAATAACAATACTACTTGTGTGTGGAGTAAGTACAAACCACGATAAAAATAAAAATAAAAATAGTGAACATTTACAATTGTGAAGACTTCAAGTCTGTATAGGCAACAAAAGTGAGAATAAGATACATAAAGGAATGAAAGTGTGGGATTGAGCTATAAATTAGCTTATAATTATGAAATGTGATAATCCTTTAGTTTATCTCTTTTTCTCATGTAAAAAGTAATATAAAAGTTCCCAAATTATTGATATAATCATGATTCATTTATATTTTCATTCATTCGGAATTTACAAATTATTTTTCTTATTTAGGATTCTAGGGTATTTTACATAGGATCACAGATAATATATCAGGATTTTCCTTAGAATTACGAGCAATAAATCACAAGGAAAAAGCGTTTTTACATAGGATCACAGATATATCTTCATGCACATATATTTAAGTAATTAATTGTTGGAACCATTTTAAAATGTAAAATGAGATTTCCTTATTAATAAAAAGAAGATTTTAAGGAGATAAGATCCTTTATTTGTTGAGATTACATAATCCCAATGAGATTAGAAAATTAATTCAATTTAGGAAATCAAATCCTAATAAAATAGAGATTTTCTGCACTATAAAAAAGATCACGGAGACACATTGGAGGAATCATATCATGTATTTCTAGATTTTTTAAGCTAGGGGTAAATGAAATCCAATTGGATTTTGTTATGAATTGATTTTGTTTTAGGGAAAAATATTTGTTTTTTTAAAAGATATAACTTTGTGTCATTTTAGATGAAACGACGTCGTTTTGGTGCATAATTGGTGATTTTTTATATTGGTATATAAATGTTTTTAAAGGACAAACGTTTTTTCCTTTGTTTTAATTCGATTTCTCTTTTTCTCTATTTAGTGAATTATCTTGTTCTTAATGTTTTCTATGATTTGACCTCTCATAGTTTGATATTTGGTTTATATATGATAATAAGAATATTGATTTATAAACCGCACTTCGGTAATTTCCCCTTGTTATTTGCATGATTCTAGGGATAGATATATGAGACATGCTAATTCATTGCTTGTAATGATTAAGCCCTCCTAAGATATGCTAGGGATTATGTTTCTTAGCATGGAGTAAATGTTAGAACACGAAAGGATTAAACTTTAAGTAGTTATGTTGAATTGATTGGCAATAGAATTGGTTGAAATTGATATATTTTGATAATGTCTTAACCTTTCTCTTTTCTTCCTAGCAAGGGAAGATTCACATAAATTGAAACCTAACTATCTTCATCATCGCATCTTTCTTTGTTTTAATTGTTTTGTCAAACGGTCTTTCTTGCATTTTGTTTTGACATTGTTACTTACTTAGTATTTGAATTTGTTTAAATTTATTATTCTTATACCCAACTTACATTGTTAGAATTCGTTCAAATAAAGTGAAAAACGTAAAATAATGTTTAAAATTACTAATCTTTATGTGATAATACTTTTTCTCACTACAACTTTAATGGTTGGAAATTGATGTGTCAAGTGAGTTACATGATATATTAGGGCTGATTATGGATGTGTTCTATCATGAGTATTTAATGTGGTTTAATGTTCTTTGGTGGTTGTTGATGTAGGAAAACTTAGATTTATGCGGAAGCGGTTTAGGACCTAGTACATTGGTATGCTTACCGAATCATCCTTGTTTCACAATTACCTCTCGGTGCGCAGGTCTCGTGTAGAATCTTCCCTTGTAGGATTCCTCTTCACGAACAGCTCACCTCAGTGCCGCAGCACGAACAACCTCCTTGAAGCTGGACTGTGGCAGATCTTTCAAACTATCTCTCGAGGAGGAAGGGGAAGTGTGTGGGCACTGATTAGATTCTGAGCTTGCCTCTTTCTCACAAAAAAGACCTTGGAGGCTGATGACTTAAGAGGTACTATTTATATGGGTTCCAAGAAACCCTAGCTCATTGGGCTCTAGGTTCCTTGGGCTCTTCTCATACTAATAACCCATTTGGGCTTTAGTAAAAGAGCAAACCCAACAATCTCCCACTTGCTCTTTTGGATACAAACTTGAGTCGTAAAACCCAAGATCATGTAACCTATAAGTCATCATCTATCCGAAAATACCCCATCCCTTGTCTCAAGCTAGCTTGGGGATCTACCATCTGTTATTAATAAAGGCTCCTGATAATCAACGAATGATTATCTAATTCGGTGCTACTCCACTAAAAGCCCGAATTTGAACTCCAAGATTAACAACACTTATAACATTAATATGCATCGCCCCTTTGTAGAATGTCTATAATTGATTGACAAGTTTTCTGTAACTCAATCAATTATTTATTCCCTTGACTATGATAGTTTCTCTAATGGATTAGATGCACTGGCCAATGTCTTTAATATCCAAGTACCGAAACATATCAAGGGGACATATCCTACAAATTACATGTTGTTTATCTCATAAATACCGATAATCAAATAATCTCACTCCCAAAATACCGAGTTATTGGTCGTCAATAGATCGAACCTCACCCGTTGGTAAATCAAAGAATGAAAACTATTTGATTACCTATTTATAATAAACTCAGGATTAAGAGCAATCACATAACTATAGTTAACTGGAGATTTGATACCTTGTGACAGAAAAACAACCTTAATCAAATCTCTCCTTGATCCTTTCAATGTGAATGTTAATTCACACCAATATTTTACAATGATTCGGACAAAATCATTTCATAAAATATTGCAGCCTGAATAAAGTGCCCAACTTTATTTAACAGCTGTGAATCCATTCATCAATTGTGAGAACCTATGATCATGTCCTCTATGAACGTATCCATATGATCATATACTCCACAATTTGATCCGGACCTTTATGTTTGTAAATAGTGCGCAAAATAAATAAATAAAATCTTATTTATGAAATTCAGAAAATTATTCTATTGTTTCATCGTCTTACTCCAAGAGCACAATGAAACCAATAACTCTCACTTGCTTAATGCAAGTCTGGGATCCTCCTAAGACCCAAAGAAGTAACATGCCTCTCGAACACAAGTTCAGGCAAACTCTTAGTAACTGGGTCTGCAAGATCCACCTCTAATGCTATCTGAGTTTAGTGAAAAACTCATAGCTCGAGGTTGATTTTCTTGAGTCAATATCCACTTAAAATAACTGAATTTTTGAAAACTCAGCTTTTCAAGACTCCCACTAGAATATACCAGCATATGATCTCTCGTTCTCCAAAGATACTTGAGTACATGCTTAACAATAATCTAGTATTTCTCTAGGTTCAAAATGGTACTATCTCACTACTCCCACTACGTGACAGATGTCTGGTTTAACGCCCAACATGATATGCGTGAGTCTACCTTTGCCAAAGCATAAGATATCTTGCTCATGCATTCTTCCTTCTTAGAAGTCTTTGGTCACTCCTTAGGAAGATGGATTCCACGTCTGAGAATTATAATTCTTCTCTTAGAATTCTCATGTTGAATTTTGGGTTTTGTCAATGTAAGTAGCCTGAGGTGATGCCAACAACTTATTCTTCCGGTCTCACAAGAGTTTTATACCAAGAATATAATTGGCTTCCCCAGTACTTCCATACCAAAACACTAACTTAGCCAACTCTTTATGTTTGATATTACCTCCACATTGTTTCTAATAAGGAGCATATCATATACATAAAGTACCAGAAAAGCTACTGTCTTCCGTTGTATCCTTTACATACAAATACACATCATTCATCAAGGTTCTCTCAAAATCAAAATTTTGATAACCTGATCAAAACTGATGTTTCAAGACCTGGATGCTTGCTTAAGTCTATGAAATAGACTTTCACAACTTGCATACCGTGTGTTCCTACTCATTTGCTATAAACCCTTTTGGTTGTTGTATGTAGATATCCTGACATCCAACTCCCAAAATGAAATCTCATAATTGAGAGTTATAGCAATTAAGAGAATCTGGATAGACTCAAGCATGGCGTCTGGCAAAAAATGCCTCCAAGCTAGCTTTGAAGGTTTTCACCTTTCTGTCCATCCTCT